CCCCGGTGCTGCCCATGATGAGAAAGAGTGCGATGTGGAAGCGTCCGAACCCGATGGTCTCCACGGCATCCTCCACGGTGAATGTCTTTGTCTCTGACAAGGAAGGCAGAATACAAGACCACTTGAGTGGGAAGAGAACCCCTGGGGATTGTGGCTCAACTTTGGAGGTGTGTGCAACATTATTATTATTATGTCCTAGGGTCTTGTGTCACCCAGACCGACCTCAGACTCCTATGTAGCAGAGGATGACCTTTGACTCCTGACCTTCCTGCCTCTACCTCTCCAGTGTTGGGATTACAGATATGGACCACCATACCCAGTTTATGTGGTACTGAGAACCAACCTAGGATTTCATGCAGGACAGGCAAACATGCTACCAACTGACCTACAGCGTTGGCCCCTAACTCATTATTATACCAATGCTAAGCATTCGTTTGAAAGCCGGGCCTTCCACAGTGGTCTTACCTTTCTGCTGCGGTTCTGGGGTTGCCTGGCTCAGCTTCCGAAGGCTAATGATTGTCACGGGTTCTGTCTGCTTGGCTGCCATCTAGGTCACTCTAACTCCCCACACAGCTTCCCTAATGAAGCCAAGGCGAGTGGCAGAGAGGGAATATAATGGTTATAAAGTACATAGACAGCAAGTACACTCCATGTAAAATTGCCCTGAGCCCCCAAAAGTCCTAGGAGGGAAGTTAGGAGGTGGTTCAGTCAGGAAAGTGCCTGCTGTGCACACGTGGGGAGCTTTTCCTACACACAGAACCCAAGTTAAAAAAAAAAATCTGGTGTGGAGACAGGAAGACTCCTGGGGCTCTTTGGCCAGCCAGCCTATGAGTTCCATGCCAGTGAGAAACCCTGCCTCAGAAGAAGGTGGACAGCATTTCTGAGGGACCACATCCAACGTTGACCTCTAGCATATACATACTTATGCACATTCATGCATGCATAGACACCTAAGGTTGACCTCTGACCTCTACACACACACACACACACACACACACACACACACACACACACACACACACACACACACGAGTACCCACACATGCGCACAGTCTTGGGAGATATTTTTTTCCTCTGTCATCCATTTCCTCTGCAAACAGACTGCTCTTGTGTTTAGATTGCCTTCTTCTATTACTAGGCACCTGTCTTGAGGAATTTATCTTCTTCTGAACCTCCTTGTCCTCACTCCTAAAATGAGGATTATACAGTAATTGCACCTAGCTCTCAGGCTGGTGTAAGGAGTAAACAAGTTGGCTCACAGGAAGTGTTTATCCTGCACCTGGCATGCCCTGCCCTGCTGAGAAGAAGCTGAGAACCCCAGTTACTCCCGCTGTGAGTTCTGCTTATAAAGGACACATTTGGTGCCACAAAAAAGAATGATGGCAGTGGTGGCGCACGCATTCAAATCCAGCACTCGGGATGCAGAGGCAGGCAGATCGCTGAGTTCAGAGTTCAAGGCCGCCCTGGCCCACAGAGAGACAACCAGGACCATACAGACAAACCCTGTCTAGATAAAGCAAACAGAAGCTCAGGGGCACACGTGGACTGAAATGGGAGCCTGAGGACAATCTGTTAGAGTTGAAGGAGAAGGCCAGGCAGGCAAGCTGTGAATCTCACATCTGCCAGGAGGAGACGGGAGAAAATAAGCAGGAATGGAGGACAGCTACCCGCTGGCAGGCAGTGTGGGGGGCAGTGAGCTTTAGGAAAGGAACAGGAGGGCTGGGGAGATGCTCAGTGGTTAAGAGCACTGACTGCTCTTGCAGAGGACCTGGTTCAATTCCCAGCACCTACACAGTGGTCCACAAACATCTCTAACTCCAGTTCAATAGGATCTGACACTCTCTTCTGGCCTCCAAGGCTAACACACACATACACACACACACACACACACACACACACACACACACACACACACACACACACAAACACACACACACACCCAGAGGTATGTAGAGGCCAGAGAACTTTGTGTGCTGTCTTTTTTCCCTATGCATTCGTGTGCATGGCGGGTGCGGAGGACAACCTCAGGTGTTATGAGGAATGTCATCCACCACCCTTGAGGCAAGGTCTTTCCTCGGCCTGGAGCTCACAGATTAGGCTAGGCTGGCCGGTCAGTGAGCCCCAGAGTTCCTTCTGTTTCTGCCTACACAACACTGGAATTACAAGTACATGCTACCACACCTGGCTTTTTATAGGCATGCCGGGGATCTGAACTCAGGTCCCGTGCTTACGTGGGCCAGCCCTTTACTGGCAACCATCTCTCCAGTCCCTAGTGGATAATTTTGAATGAAGTAGTGGCAATCAATTATAAAATGGACTTCGTAGCACACGAAATAACCCCCCTCCCCCAGCAGCTGCCAATTGCTCCTCAGCTAGGTGGGCTCTCACGAGGGAGAAGAGAGAAGGGAGCGCAGGACAAAGCTGAACCACACTAACCCGGGGAAACAAGGAGAACTGGGTCTCTTGACTCAGCATCCCCAGCCAGCCCTTCCTCAGACACCGAAGTGAGGATGTGATACACGACCCACCTTCAAACGACCTGAAAGTGTCTGTGGATGGATGTGGATGGGTTAAGGATTGACGCTGCCTCTCAAAGGCCCAGGGGGAGCCCTGGAGTAATCAGACTTCCAACAGACAGAGTGATGCTTTTTTCACCTGTATTTAGGTGTATGGATTTTTTTTTTTTTTAGCCAGAAATAATTGAGCCCCTGAAGATCTTTTCCATGCTGACTTGTATGTGTGTGATATGATTTTTTTTATAGTGTCATCAATAAGAAGCTGGGAGAATACTTGAATAAGGACCTCAATTCCCAATTCCTAGAACCCATGTGAAAAGCCAGTGTGGCTGTGGGTCTCCGTAATCAGCACCAGGGCTGAGTGCAAGGGCAGGAGAGTCATTGGGTTTTGCTGGCTGCCAGCCTCGCTCCGGGTTCAGTAAGAGGCTGTCTCAGGGAATAGGTGGAGAGTGAGAGCGTGACACTCAATGTCCCCCTCTGGCTTCTGGGAATGTGCAGAGGGCACAAACCTGCGCACACATGTGCATATACCACACACATACACAAACATACTAACGTATATAATACACACACACAAGTTTTCAAAACCATGAAAGTTTCACACTCCATTTGCCTCTAGCAACACACGAACAGTTGGCTTCCCTCCCTACCCTGAACAGCAGCAGTAAAAGCCGATACACACCTGTTGCCAAAAGTGTCTCACCTGTGTATTCCTTGGAAAGTGTTACGACTTCGGGCTCCTGTACACTGTATCACCACAGCCCGGCTGGCAGCTCTGGAGGCCTCTCTGTCTCTAGACTTACCTTCCAGAGAGGCCCGGCCCCTGCCCCTACCTCCCTTTCACCTCAGTTCTCCAAACAAGATTCATTAAGGAGCCACCTGGAGTTCTGGGTGAGTGACATGGAGGGCACACCCCCTTCGAAACAAACCTCACCTGATCCCTTGTGAAAGAGAAAAGAGCAGTGCTCCCTGACACAGGAAGCAGCTGCCAAACCTTGGGGGATGTCAGCATGTCCCTCTCAGGCTGGAGGGGCATTTCTGAAAGAGCTGGGGGGGTGCCTCTGAGCCATCTCTGCAGGGTGCATTCTTCAGATGGATGCCCAACAGGACACCAGCAAGCTGAGAACCCACCCCACCCCACCCCACCCCACCCCGACGATCATGTCAGCAGAGTCGTGGGCTTCTCACAGGACTTATGATCGATTCTTTCTGGCAGCTGTCATTGGCTGGGCCTCCCCTCCACTGCCAGGTCTTACAATCTCTTTTCCACAGTCCCCAGGTGGACAGCCTCCTATGCACTTGGCAGGGGGAAGAACTCCACTTCTCATCCAGTGACGCACATGATGAAGTCTCACAGCTGGAATACAAACATCATCCTTTGATCCAACCTTGATAAGTGAACACCTTAAAAGACAGGCCTCACATTGCCGGGCAGGCTGTGACACAGACAGGAAAGGGCCACAACCACTTCCTTTTAGGGTTGAGTATTGCTCTTAACTTTTAGGGTTGAGTATTGCTCCTAACGACACTAGTCAATCTGGGTATAGGGCAGCAAGTGGGATCTAAAAGATAAGAGTAGAACTCTGGGAAGATGGCAAGTGAATAAAGTACTTGCCAGGCAAGCGTAAGGACCTGAGTTCAAATCCCCAGAAGCTATGTAAAAGCCAGGCACAGTTGAGTGATTCTATAATCCCATTGCTCCTGCAGCGAGATGGGAGTCAGAGACAGGAGCGTCCCTGGAAGCTCACAGGCCAGCCAGCCTGGTGCACACAACAGCATGGAAAGTTGTCCTCTGTGCGTCGTGGCATACATGTGCCTGCACGCATACATACACACAACCACATTTGGATCTGATCCGCTCTTCAGGTAGAAAGGACAGTCAGTGGGAAGCATACAAAAATGTGGCTTATCCTTAGTCCCGCTCCTGTAGTCACGAAAGAGACAGCAGTTCACCTGGATGCGGGTCATTCAGACAAAACAGCCCACGGGACGAACCTCCTCGGGTGCTTGGGGGATCGCCAGTCCAGGCACCCTACGAAATTGGTTCTGGGGAGGGTGAAGAACTCGACTATGAGGTAGTCTCCTTCCCCGTACACTGGGTTCCAGAACCTGGCTAAGCCTCTACCTCTCCTTCCGCAGTCACTCCAGCTCAGTGTGTGGTGACAACAAGCCGTGTCCCAGGAATGATGTCACGTTGTCACATTTCACTTCTCAGAACTGAGTGATGCCGAGAGTCAGGCCAGGGCTGAGCCTCCCACTCACTACCCAGAGGGCGTTAGCTGTGCTTCTGGTGGGGCGGGGGGCAATGTTTGAGAAAGCCCCTAAGCTTGTAATGCTAAGCCCCTGACCAGGGGGAAATATGGGGAAAAACATAAACCTGATCCTTCCCTGGGATTAGGTTGTGTAACTCCATTGTCCAGTGTTGGCCTCTAACTGTAGATACTAAATGTCATGGATTAATTTTGAATAAAGACATCTTAAAGAAACAGTGAATAGAGCAGACATTTATTTTCATGATTATAATCCTTGAAATACTGCGGGAGATCCAGGTGTGGTGGCCCGTGCCTGTCGTCTCAACAAAGTGGAGGCAGGAGGAGCCGGAGTTCAAAGCCATCCTTGGCTACGTAGCTATTTCCAGGACAGTTAGAGCTCATGAGACCTTGTCTCAAAACAGACATACAGTAAAACAAAAATAAACTATTACAAGATAGTGGTCTAGTGCCCCCTCCCCCGTTTCCCAGTTATTTTGGTATTTGATCATTTGACTGCACACGAAGTCCAAACAAAAAGCAGCCCCTCAGTTACGTGGTTAAATCCTGCCAAATCCCATGCCTCACACAGCTTCACACTTCAGGTAGCCAACAGGGCTGCTTCTGGGACACCTGGCCTGGGTGGACATCAGAGACAAGAGTGAACTCCTTCAGCTGGCACCAGCCTACTCCTCGGCCCCTTCCAGGACGTGTTTGAAGGAGAATGGGGAGAACTTGGAGCCAGCCCCCTCATAGAACTTGTTCTGGAACTCCACCCTGTGGTGATGGGGAAGGGAAAAAAAAGCAGATTGAAATGTCAGAGGCTGGCAGAGAACACCATGGGAACCAGAAGACCTTTTAAGCCTCCCTCTTACCACGCCCCCTCCTCCCAACCTCTCTTCCTCAAGCTTCACGGGCCACAGCACACACCTCCCCCACGTTATGAACGTCCACAGCCTCCACCCAAGCAAGGATGCCTCCCCTCCACGCACTATCTGATGATCGCAGCGCGTGAGGCCACAGCTCCTCATGAGGGTGCACGTGCCTTCCCATGTGCACCCTGACTCCCAGTTGTGGAGTCCTGGTTGGGACAGCAGGAGCAGTAGCTTGGCCTGTATTTTCAAAAATCATCTTATAACCAATCTCACCCGTGGTCATTTCTGTTCTGTGATGTTACAGAGGCACATGCTTCATGCAGTGGAGGGAAATGTTAGCATGGAGACAGGGGACGCTCCAGTTTTCTCCACTCAATATGCAAACATAAAAATGTTTCCTAAGGCTAGAGAGATGGCTCAGCATTTAAGAGCACTGACTGCTCTTCCGGAGGACCTGGGTTCGATTCCCAGCACCCACATGTCAGTGCTGTGGGATGTTCTGTATGGCAAATGTGTTGCTAATTAGTCAATAAATAAAACACTGATTGGCCATTGGCTAGGCAGGAAGTGTAGGCGGGACAAGGAGCAGAATAAAGCTGGGAAGTGGAAGGCTGAGTCAGAGAGACACTGCCAGCCGCCAGGATGACAAACAGCATGTGAAGATGCCGGTAAGCCACAAGCCATGTGGCAAGGTATAGATTAATGGAAATGGATTAATTTAAGCTGTAAGAACAGTTAGCAAGAAGCCTGCCACGGCCATACAGTTTGTAACCAATATAGGTCTCTGTGTTTACTTGGTCAGGTTTGAGCGGCTGTGGGACTGGCAGGTGAGAGAGATTTGTCCTGACTGTGGGCCAGGCAGGAAAACTCTAGCTACATGTCAGCTCACAAGTATGTATAACTCCAATCCCAGGAGATTTGATGCCCTCTTCTGACCTCCACAGGCTCTGCATACACAAGGAGTATAGACACATGCAGGCAAAGCACTCACACACATAAAATGAAAAAAAAAAAAATCAAGAGTTTCCTAAGAGCGGCACCCCCAGTATGTGCTGAGGATGTGAAGGGCTTGCTGTGGCACTCCCCCGTTTCCTCTGTAGAGTTCAGTGGCTTGTTCTCCTGATGCCACTCCTGCCCTCAGCAGCCACACAGCCAAGCACACCTGTTCACTAACATGCTCTCCAAAAAGCCTGTTCCAGATCTGTCCCCGCACTTCTTTGGAAGCCAACTGTACTAACAAGTCAGCACAGAGCAAACGAAAGCTACATGACAGGGCAGCCAGCATAGCTGCATACATGTGAACATACGTTACATCACGCACATCACATAAACAGATGACTAAACTGAGGTTCCAAAAATGTAGCCAAGTTGTGACTCTGGTCAGTCAGCCAGCCCTGCAGCCTGCCCTTCCCCAAGCTCCTAAGGGACAAGCAGGCTTACCAATGCAGCCGGAGGGCATGCAGAAAGGCCGAGAGCCCCTCCATGATGAGGAGGATGGCGACCGTCAGGACGGCGAAGACGGCAAAAATGATGAAGACCCCAACGAGCCCTCCCCAGCCCCGAAGGCGGAGGCCAATGTTCATCACCATGGTCCAGAGCACCTCGGACAGCTCTGTGGGAGCAAGTGGGACATCCTCAGCCACCAGGTATGTACCCATCATTTTCCTCCATCACCTCAAATGCAAAAGCCCCTCTGAGGGCCACGCAGGAGCTGGACTCCCATAGCTTCGATCAGAGTGGTGGGCCTTCCAACAAGAGGACGCAGACAGATACTCCGTGGCACACTGATCACCAGGGAAAGTACCCAACTAGAGCTATCAGCAGCAGTAAAAGGAACCAAACCTGAATAACATGAGACAGGCACAAAAATGCGAAACCTAAAAGAATGCGGGAAGCCTGGTTTGTGTGTAGCCCTCCCTGGGGTCTCAGAGGGGGGTGATTAGAAATATGAGAGGGGTCCCTTTGCCATGGGATTAGGGAATTTAAGGGCGTATTCACTCTCAAGTTCCAGCTCTCCCTCCCTCACCCTTCTGAGTGGGGGTGTTGGAAAGCGGCCTTCCACCCGAGCCCCCCACGCTGGCACTCTCATCCCAAACTTCCAGCCTCTGGAACTGTGAGGAAAAAAAGAATCTGCTTATGGCTGGAGCCACCCAGTCTGTGGCATTTTGTCATGCCAGGCTCACGTTAAGATTCCGTTCACACAAATTCAGAAGCATGGGAAATTATCGTCAGTTGCTTAAGGATCTTCGGAAAGACACCCAAGAAAAACATAAATAGTTATTATCTGGCAAACATACTGCAAATGACCCTAAGAAAGCACACTTGCTCACTTGCTCATGAGTAGAATAAGCCTGTTCTCGGGGGGGGGGGGGGGGGGGGGGGGATGATTGCTAGCCTTGACCTCCTGGGTTGCGCACTCACCTGCATGAGCCAAGCTGAGGGCCCAGAGCCGAAGGTACGAGGCTGTGTTGGAGATACAGCCTAGGCAGTACTCAATGGTATGGATGGCCTGGTGGACAAAGATGTCTCCAAAGTTGAACTGTAACAGAGCATTTTCTGTCTTATTTCATTAAGTTCTTTTTCTCCCTTCTCTCTTCCTTTTAGAGTGAGAACGTTAATTTCCTTTTTCATTACAGTAATAACTACATACTTATGGGTACAATATATATCTCAATGCACGTACGTAATAAATACTCATCATATCAGGGTAATTGGAGGCTTTGAGCTTCTGTCTTCCAAGTTAGTTACAGACTGTATCATAGATTACCATTAGCCATAGTCTGCGTGGGGCGGGATAGAAAGGGGAAGTTATGGAGGCATGGGAAGGGAAAGGGGTCCCTCACCCAGGAATCTAGTTGAAGACTGATGACTCTTGCCAGCAAGAGTCAAGAATTCTGAGTGCTGGGATTAAAGGCGTGCGCCACCGATGCCCGCCCTGGGCGTTCTTGAACCTGCTGATTCAGGAGCCACAAGACTGACAGCAGCAGACCCTCCAGCTCGTCCCTGAGTTCATCCCGCACCCTCGTGACTGGACAGATTAGATCCCAGTTCTAGACTCTGCACAAACTGAGAAGCCGGCCTTTGGCGCTCTTGCCTCAGATACCTCCTCCTCGTGGCCATCCTTAGTCCCGTGGGCACCTGTGGTCTTCTTCTGAGCAGAGGTGCTCGAGTGGCCACCTTCAATGTCATCCGCGTGGATCGTGAAAGACTGCAGCTGTTGGCAAGCAAGGAGACCAAGACAGTGTTCCACTTGGCCTCCGGGTTATTAAAGTATTAACAAGATAAAGGCCCCTTCAAGGTTAGTTATGGACCCATCTATCATGTTGTAATTGTTTTGGCTTTTTTATTATGTCATTCTCTTTCTCCAGACCCCATAGGAATGCCAGTTGAGGTTAATATCCACCTTACATTTTAGAAAAGCAGAGTTTAATGCCTACAGCCATTTAAAGCATTTGCCATCTCAATACAATCCGTTGTATCTTCTATACTAACAGAAGAAAGCAGGGAGTCATCTCAGTATAGCTGGACCCAAGGTTCCCTGGGAGGGGTTCATCTCCATAAGCCCTGTCTGCTTTAGGTTAATATGTTCCCTGAGTAAATGAGGCTCAAGGCAGTTTAGACAAAAAAAGAAAAAAAAAAAGGAAGGAAGGAAAGAAAGAAGAAAGAAAGAAAAGACAGATATTTGGCAATAGGAGGAAGTTATTCATAAATTAAAACTGGATTTTTGAATGTGCCTATCCCATGATAGCCTATAGCAACATTCTAAGGGAGTAAAATCACAACCTTAGAAAAGTCACTAAGAATAATTTTAATATTCATTTTAAAAATAGAATTATCTGGGGGGCATGGCGGTGTATGCCTGTAATCCTAGCACTGGGAGGCAGAGGCAAGAGGACTGTTTTGAGTTAGGCTAGCCTGGGCTACATAACCAATGCAAGACCAGCCAAGGTGATATAGTGAGACTCTGTTTTTAAAAAACAAAATATAAAGTATAAACTCCCCCACCCCCCCACCCCCGTTTCCATGTCTAACCAATAAAATAACTTTTTTTATTTTATAATAAAATGCTATAATGCTTATAATGCTTATAAATCTTCAGTGCCAACCAGATGGGACACACACCCCCTGAGCAGAGTGTGAGGAACTTCAGACTTACTGTGTTTGGGAAATGGAGGACCACTGTTCAGGAAGTAAGGGGTCCCGGCGGGACGCTACTGAAGGACACACGCTTGAGTCCAGCCCTGCCCTCCAGACCTCCCCAGGCCTCGCAGGGGAGCCCACTGCTCTCTCCCCACCCCAGACTTCCATTTCTAGGAAAGTGTGCTGTGACCCACAGTGGGCAGACTAAAAGGCCACGCTTACCTGAGATTTCTGGTGTTGGGCTCTGAGAATAAATGGCTTAATCAGAAGCATCCACGGCACAGAGACCAACGCTATAATGACAAAGAAAGTTTGGACTTCTTGCTGCAAAATCAAAATTGGTACCAGTCACTAAGATGGCCACAAAGCATTCTTCCCATGCATAATGGGGCTTTCTATGCTCGGGGGCGAAGGCAGGCACTGCAGCGACCCTCTGAGTAATCCCAAGCATTCCGATTCTGGTCACCCTCACTTCCGCTACACTCCTAGTGTGGACAGAGAAATGGCTATCCCGTGGTGCTCCGTGCCCAAGGGAGGACAGAAACCACTTCTGTGTTGCGGATGTGCTATGTAGTCCTTTGTGACACTCTCACACATGGAGTCTTCAAAACAAGAAGTCCTGAGACACTACCATGCTTCTCTCACCCTTAGCTGCTCCACGGACAAAGTTAGTCTAGTTCCAGAAGAAGATTGGCAGGTCACATGATTCCAACCATCTCTCTACCGGAACCAACCTTTGGGTCATTTTATATTAAATCAGAAATTACCTATTTCCAGTGTGAGGTAATTGTTGGGGCTCTCTCTCATCCTCCCTCCCTCCTCCTATCCCTCTACCCTTCAAGAAAGAAACCAGGAGTTCCCACACCCTCTACCTGACTTTCTGCCTCTAGTCCCCTCATGGGTTGGGATACTCACTATGTACTCAGAACCATCTCAGGGTTCCCCATTTGACCACTGCTGAGACCCAAGAGGAACCCCCAGCTTCATGTTTCCTTCCAGGTCCCTCCCCACTTCTTATCTGACACACTCCTCATCCGCATTTCCCAGCTCTGAGGGGTGATTCAGCTACATTGTGGAAAGCTGCTGGGGGAGCAGGGTGGCGACAGGGACAGGAAACTGCTCGCAGGCTGAGGAAATACAGCTTGTGAGCCTTCCTGCTTCCTCGCCTGCTCTTGCCAGCTCAAGATCCATGTCAGGAGATGGTCTGTGAGCAACAGCGGTAAGACATCTTACCCAGCGGGAACACTTTACCTGCTCAGCTCTTATATGGTGATATTTTATTTGTACTGAAATGTGATTTTATTTGTATGTTAATAAATAAAGTTGCCTGGGGGGTCAGAGCTAATAGCAAGCCATAGCAGAACTCTGGCAATGGTAGCACACGCCCTTAATCCCCATCACATAACAGGCAGATCTCTGTGTGTTCAAGGATACCACCAGCATGGAGACACACGCCTTTAATCTCAATATCAACCATAGAGACCTGGAGGTCTGTATAGATAGGCAGTGACAAGGAGGTCACGTGGTTGGGTTTACAACCAATGAGAAGGCAGAACAGAAAGTCTATAAGAAGACAGAGACACAGGAAGGAGGTCTCTTGTGGAGGGAAGGACAGGAGTGGCAGTGAAGGGTAAGGTTTTTAGCAATTAGCTATTACTCTGACCTCTTGGGCTTTCATCTCTGCTTTGGCTCTGTGTTTCGTTTTTAACAAGACGGTTACATCTACACTCTCACGCTGTTTTACAAGCTCAAAAGAGGGAAGGGCATGTGCCCCGCCCTGTACTGACCAAATGAAGCCCCTGCACAGGAAGGTGCTCACTGCCACGTGTCCGTTTTTACAGCCAGACCTGCCGCCCCTAGATGACAGACAAAGCACCCATATATGCTTCTACGCAAAGACAGCCAGAGCAAAGCTGAGGAGACTTTAGTGTCGGCCATTTCCTCTAACCACGTGACCCCAGACTGAGGTTATGGAAATCCCAAGCCATGTCAACACAATTAATCTTCATAGCAAGCTGTAGGGAAAGCAGCCAGTTCTCAGCAATGTTTGTTAATTCAACAAGAAGCTGGAAAGGCGCTCACTCACGGCAATGCCTGGTGCCTTTTCCAGAGGCAGCGAAGCCCCGGGCCTCTCTACAGGCAGTAAATACTGGGTTACTCTAGGGCTGATGCCTACAAGAAAGGGCTTGTTTGGGAAATCCAAATAAATGTTCACTCTGATGCCAGCACGGAGTAAATGAACCTTTAAAACACACTCAACTTTGTGCCAGCATTCTGGGGCCAGGCCAAGGTTGTCGTGTGTGTTTAACAAGTCAGACACAAAAGGGCCCTCTGAGGTATGTTTCCTCTCTGATTATTATCTAAAACCATCTCTTACAAAAGCCTTGTCGGGCAGCACGTTTTCTTCTTGTTTGATGCCTCTGGAAGGAGGGGAACACAGCTAGCGGGGGGGGGGGGGGGGGGGGGGGGGGGGGTCAGCTAGGAATCCAGTGTGTGCAGTCCCCGGCAGAGGACGTTTCCATGGAAGAGCGACCTGTGTGATCCCAGTCACAGAGCTCTGTCCAGTGAATTAGGACAGAAGTGGATCTTCCATTCATAAAAAAAAACCTGCTGGGTGAGGCTAGGGTAAAAGATAGTTTGTGTTGGACAAGAATGATTCACTGAGTTCATTTTACATCCAGTTCCAAGGGGGCATTTCTACTGTTTCCAGATGAAATACACTGTATGGGGAGCAGGAAGGGACAGGCTGGAGGGGGGCAGTGAGGGAGGAGGGCAAATGAGAGCCCAGTACAATGACATATGTGTGAGGATGCCGTGAGCAAACCCATGACTTTGTATGTTCACCTGAACATCTTCTAAGATCCCTAACAAATGCATATGTTTAAACACACTGGAAATAGTGAGATATACTCGACCATCTCTGCAAGATCCACATCTGCATATCCAGCCCATCAAAAATACTAAAAGAAACTGTACTGAACACATCAGACCCTTTTCCTAGTCATTACTTCCCTAGAACTGGTACAACAGCAGTTTACATAGCATTTGCATTTTGCATGGTGCTGAGTGAGTGTCTAAGCAAATCGGAGAGTAACTAAAGAACATGGCACATGGGGGGGGGGGGGGCGTGTTAGATAGTCTCTACACAAACACTGTACCACTTTGTACAGGAGATCTGACCATCGTAGGTTTGGGGATCTACAGGGGTTTTGTGTGTCCTAGAACAATCCCCTGCAGGGACTCAGAGACAGCTGTTCTTGGCTGAAGGAAATGGGGAAGACTGGAGTGGGAGCAAAGTCCAGCTGTTGGGACATACCAGCCATGGACGAACAGAAAGTGAGGGTAAGTTCTGGCTGACTTTGAGAACCACGGGCTAGCATGAGCCTGGTCCAGTTTCCAGAAACCCACCATTCCTGGAAACAGCAGAACTTCGGTTCCTGGTTTTATTTGTATTTCCTTTCATGTGAGCCTTAGCTAGAATTTAGTGGTTTGGTTTTTGTTTTTTTTTTTTTCTTTTTCTTTCTTTTTGTTTTTTGTTTTTGTTTTTTGTTTTTTTGTTTTTCAAGACAAGATTTCTCTGTGTGACAGACCTAGCTGTCCTGGAATTCACTCTGTAGACCAGGCTGGCCTCGAACTCACAGAGATCCACCTGCCTCTGCCTCCCGAGCACTGGGATTAAAGGCATGCGCCACCGCCACCACCACCTGGCTTAGAATTTGCCTTTTTTTTTTTTTTTTTCCGAGACAGGGTTTCTCTGTGTAGCTTTGCGCCTTTCCTGGAACTCGCTTTGGAGACCAGGCTGGCCTCGAACTCACAGAGATCCTCCTGGCTCTGCCTCCCGAGTGCTGGGATTAAAGGCGTGCGCCACCAGCACCCGGCAGAATTTGCTTTTTTAACAAAAGATTTTTATTTGTTTTTGTTTGTATTTAGACAGAGTTTCACTGTGTGGCCCTGGCTGTCCTGGAACTCTGTGTAAGACCAGGCTAGCCTTGAACTCACAGAGATTTATCTGTCTCTGCCTCCCATGTGAGATTTTTGTTTTTACATTTACTTACATATTTATTTTGTGTGCATGTGGAGGTCAGCGGACAACTTGCAGAAGTTGGTTCGTTCCTTCCGCTGTGTGGGTCCCAGAAACTGAATTCCATCATCAGGATGGCAGCAAACATGTACCTGCTGCTGAGCTATCTTGCCAGTCCACGGTTTTTCAATCTTTAACATTCAAAGCTTAAACTGGAGCATTTTCCCACTCAAGCCAATCCATCTGAAGGTTCTTTTTCCCTCTTTTCCTAGCCAATTTTCAACTAAACAATAACGTCCCTTGTGCATTACCCCAGCAGGAAGAGTGGGAGCCTCGTAACGGCTGTCTGTGCCTGTCCCTTTACTTAATAAGAACGTAATGTTCTTCCCTGAGATGAGCTTAGTCTCACAAAGAACTACTCTCTTCAATAGTCAAAGAGCTTGAGAGAGATCTTACAAAACCGAGTGGGTCAGAGGAGGTTTTCAAAGCAGAGCTACCTGATGGCTGTACAGGGGTGCATTGGAATCATCGTAGTCAAACAAAAACATGCTGATGAAGTGGATGAGGATGCTGGGAGCCTTCTGGGATGTGTGGGCATCATACCGGCACCACTTGAAAATGATCATGAAAACCAGGTATCCAAAGAGGCTGAGCATAAAAATCATCTCAGGGATGAACTGCAGAATGATGTTGAGGGTTCTTCTGAAGTAACTAGGGGTGGAAAACACACATATAAGACAGAACATTAACAAAATGTTAGTGCTCAAGCACTCTCCCCAGGCACACAGTGTTCATTCCCTTCTTGAGCTGCTGGCAAACGCTTTACTCCCCTGGCAAACACAAACGTGTATGGAGAGGAAAGAAAAGAGAAAGGGAATACCTGGAGAGTGTTTTTGCTTGCACAGATTCAGGGAACCTAGGTCTAGAAAGTACTGTGTGGTGATCTGGCCACAGCTTCTCATGAAGATTTCACTCCCAAGACACATTTGAAGACGAAATGAAGCAATAATAGACATTTGGAAGCTTTTCTGCTACTAAGACGGGTGTTGCCAATCTACAGCCTGTGGACCAGATGGAGCCTGGAGATGAAGAGTGATTCTAATATGGGGCTGGAGAGGTGTCTCAGTGATTAAAAATACTTTCTGCTCTTCCAAAGGACCCAAGTTCGATTCCCAGCAGCCACATCAGGTGGTTCACAGTCATCTTTAACTTCAGTTCCAGGAGTTCAACACCATTTTCTGGTGCACACACATGTAACCCCCCCACCCCACCTCTCTCTCTCTCTCTCTCTCTCTCTCTCTCTCTCTCTCTCTCTCTCTGTCAACTCAATGGTTCTCACCTTTTCATGGTTGGGTAGAAGAACATTTAACACTGTGTCTGGTAGCACAGATCCGTAATCACAGACACTCAAACGGCTGAGGCAAGAGAATCACAAGTTCTTGCACTGCCTGGGGTACACAGTGAGTCACAAGGCAACCTACACAACTTAATGAGACCCTGTCTCAAAACTAAAAAGTTAAAAAAAAAAATGGGCCTATACTCCCAGAACCTGGGAAGTGGAACCAGGAAATCAAGCCATCTTTGTATATATACCGAGTTCAAGGTCAGGCTAGGCTACATGAGACCCTACCTTTAAAAAGAGGAGGGCTGAGGCTGTGGCTCAGTAATAGAATGCTTGCCTCGTGTGGTGGCTTGAATGAGAAAAGCTCCCAAAGGCTCATATATTTGCACACTTAGTCTTGAGTTGATGGACTGTTTAAGAAGGGTTAGAAAGATTAGGAGGTATTGCCTTGTTGGGAATAGGTGCGGCCTTGTAGGAGAAAGTGTGTCATTAGGTGGCTTTGAGGTTTCAAAAGCCCACACCAGACCTCTGTCTGTCTGTCTCTCTGTCTCTCTCTGCCTGCAGATCAGGATGTAAAGCTCTCAGATACTACTCCAGCACCATGTCTGCCTGCCTGCTGCCATGCTCCCCACCATGATGATAATGGGCAAACCCTCTAAAACTGTAAGCAAGCCCCCGATTAAGTGCTTTCTTTTTTAAGAGTTGCCTTGGTCATAGTGTTTCCTCACTGTAATGGAACAGTGCCCAAGATACCTAGCCTGCGTGAGGCTCTATGTTCCATTCCTAGTACCTCAAGAAAAGAAAAAAAGGGGGCTATTTTATGATCCTGAAATTCTACAAAAGTGAAAAATCCTCTCAAGACATGGTGCCAAGATAGAGTAATAAAAAGTTCACTGCCTTTTGCTCTAAAACAGAGCCCTACCAGGCTAAGAAGGAGCTCTAGAGATGAACTGTCAGAAAAAGCCCTGGTGCATAAGGAGGCCAGTGACCATCAGCTGGGAAGCCCTTCCCACACATCTTTGGCTTCTCTCTCACAACACTTCCCACAGCGCACAACATCCTCAGTTTTCCAAGTAGAACTACTTCTACGGCCTCTCAAGGTTAAGGCCACCCTACAACTGGTTCTTGCCAACAAAATGGGACCAGAACTAGTCCCCTGCCACTTTGGGGAGAAGCTTTAGGACTCACCAAGTAACTCTCTACCTTTTCTCTGCCATGGCACCTGCAGGGATCCAGGAGTGTCCACCCATCCTCTTAAGTCCCCTGGGTGGAAGGATGACAGACATGGGACCCATGTGGCCCTGCTGCTATGATTCATGGCCTTAAGCCATTGAGACTGGAGTTGTTCATTTTCCTGTAACCTAACCCATCCTGGTTATGTATTCCCATTCTCTTCATCTCCCTTTCTTTCTTTACTTGCTCCTTTCCTTTTTAGACAGGCTCTCCCAAAGCCCAAGCTGGCCTTGGACTTGCTATGTAGCTAGACCTTAAACTTCTGGTTTTTCTGCCTCCATCCAAGTGCAGGGATCACAGGTGTGCACCACCACCACACCCACTGTATGCAGTATTGGAGACTGAACCCAGGGCTTTGTGCATTCCAGGCAGGCACTCTACCAACTGAGCCACATCCCCAGCCCCCATTCTATTTTCTTTACCATGTTAACAATCTCAGCAATGTCAGGCATTGAGGCTATGATCACCTTCATTAGGAGCTGAGGCTGAGACTTAAAGTGACTGATCACAAGCTCTCCATCCTTTCTGTGAACCCCAATGCCCCACTTACTCCTAACCTAAGTAGTAAGTGGGATTTCTGGGCACTTGAAGTCAGCTGCCAAGTTCAAAAGGCACACTGAGTGAGCATGTTACGCTATGTCCAAACACACTTTTAGCATCAATAAGTTTAAGAAGCTTTCCAGTGATGGATGCTGACAGAGGAAAGGAACAAGGTGCCGACATGAACAGGCAAGAGGGAGAGAGGCTGCTACCAGCCAGGAGAAAGGACACCCAGGATGATCCAGGATTGGGAGCACCTTGGCCAACATTCATCCAGGTCCTCCCTGGCCCACTGGGTGGAGAATGAGATGGGTACTATACCAACCTTTCCTTCTAGGCAGGAGGAACACAAGCTGCCATGAGTGAGCTTCCCAGCACCCTCATGAACCCTAAGGAATTTCCCAGGCAGAAAACACACATTTACATCAACAGACTCTGCATGGCAGAAACAGAGGTGCTCCTGATTCTGGCCAACCAGTCTGTCTCAAGACGAGACCCACAGGGAAGCTACCTGCCACACGAAGGCTCACTGGTGGCCCTGCCTCTTCCTCATCAGTGTCATCAGATGGGCAAGCAGAGGGTGAATCAAGAAGCTCGCATGTAGGGTGGAAGATGGCTCATTAGTTAAGAGTCCTTGTGTTCTTGCAGAGGACCCAAATTTGGTTCCTAGAACCCATGTTAGGCAGCTCACAATCACCAGTAACTTCAGCTCAGAGATCTGAGTCTGCACTCACATGCACATACCCACAATCAAACACACATACACATGTATACATAATTAAAAATAAATCTTTTTTTTCTTTTAAGAAGAAACTCACATGTGATTGAAGAGGCTGAGAATAACACCGAAAGTCATCTGAATGATTCCCAGGATGACTGACATCTTCATCTTATAGGAGTTTAAAAATGTGAGTTTGTTTGAAGCCAGGTTCCAAATCTACATAAGAAACATGACAAGAAAGACATGAGGCAGAACCGGGCAGTCTTTAGGAGTTCGGCTACAACGCAGTCCCCCAAGGATGTTGCTTGACGGGGTGGGGGGGAATGACAACACACACGTTTATGGTGATATTTTATTTGTACTAAAATGTGAATTGTAAATAAAGTTGCCTGGGGGTCAGAGCTAATAGCAAGCCTTAGCAGAAGCTGGGTGGTGGTGGTGCACGCCTTTAATCCCAGCTCTTGGGAGGCAGAGCTAAGCGGATCTCTGTGTGTTCAAGGATACAGCCAGCATAGAGACACACACCTTTAATCTCAATACCAACCATAGAAGACCTGGAGGTCTGTACAGACAGGCAGTGACTAGGAGGTCATGTGGTTGGGTTTACAACCAATGAGAAGGCAGAATAGAAACACTATAAAAAGACAGACACACAGGAAGTAGGTCTCTTCCGGAGAGGTAGGACCACAGCGACCGTGAAGGGCAAGGTTTTTAGCTCTTAGCTATTGCTCTGACCTCTTGGCTTTCATCTCTGCATTGGCTCTGTGTTTCTTATTTAATAAGACGGTTACATCTACACATGTTGGGCTCAGAAACGGGAAAGAACAGTTATAACCACAACTGTGGTGACAAAGTGTGAGAGTCACTGATGCCATTGATCAGATACCCAAGTCCTGGAAGAAAACCAGAGATAAGGACTGCAGAGATGGCCCAGTGGTAAGGGTGCTTGTGGTCAAGCCTGGCTACCTGTACTGGCTAGTTTTTGTCAACTTGACAAACTAGAGTCACCTGTCACCTGTGTCAGATTGGCCTGTGGGCCATTCTCATCATTAGTTATTGATGTGGGAGGCCCAGTCCACTGTGGGTGGTTCCATCCCTAGGCAGGTGTCCCTGGGTTGTATATGGAAACCAACTAAGCAAGCTGTGAGGAGCAAGCCAGTAAACAGCTCCCCTCCCTAGCCTCTGCTTCAGTTCAGGCCTTAGCTTCCCCCTCAATAATGAACTATAACCTGTGAGGCTAGATAAGCCCTTTCCTCTCCAAGTTGTTTGTGGTCATGGTGTTTATCACAACAACAGAGAGCCAACCGAAACATGACCTGAATTCTATCCCTGGAACCCATGTAAAAGTGGAAGGAAAATACCAACAAAGTCGTCTTCTAACCTCCACATGCATTCTATGGCATGCATGCCTCCCCTCGTAAATCACACACACACACACACACACACACACACACACACACACACACACACACCTCACACAACACATACCTCACACAACACACACACACACACACCTCACACAATACATAACAAACACAACATACACACACACACACACACACACACACACACACACACACAAACCAAAAGATGCATGGTTTGTCTTGTGCCAAATGGAAAGATATTCTGAATTACTATGGAGAGTCTCAAACTTGCCTCTGTTCCTTTACAAATGGCCTGCAGAGTGCTGACTGAAGAATGGACCAACTCCTTTTTTATAGTAGCCCATTTTGCTCTGAGTTCCTGGAAAACTTCACAGGGCAAAGCATTTCCCAGAACCTTCTTTTTCATTAATTTAATTATCTTTTTTAAAATTTTTAAATATTTATTTATTACATATACAGTGTTCTGCCTGCATGTATCCCTGCAGGCCAGAAGAGGGTACCAGATCTCATCGCAGGTGGTTGTGAGTCACCATGTGGTTGCTGGGAATTGAACTCAGGACCTCTGGAAGAACAGCCAGCGCTCTTAACTGCTGAGCCATCTCTCCAGCCCCTCCTAACAACATCTTCATCAATATTCCCTTGTCGGACTTTCTCTCCATTTCCTTAAATTCCATTCGATGTGTGTTCTGATTATTCTTCACCTTTTCTTCCATGTTTCTCCCCGCTTCCCCTTACTTGCGAGTCTGAATACAAAGGGAAGCCTGCTGGAGTCTTAGGTGGGGATCTGTAGGCTGGCTTCTCTCTCGGGCTCTCATTGTGAGCAATAAACCCCACAGCAGAGTGGCTGGAGCAAAGGCACCTAAACACCACCCTCCCCTGACGTCCACCCCTGGGGCCTTTTAAAGACCCCGTGCCAGTGCTCCTAAGCTCTGACCATCTGTCCAGCCCATCCCAGAACCTTCTTAAGCCATCTTTACAATCAATTGTCAGAACCACTATGGATAAGATATGACGCCTGCCTTCCATACAGTCCTGGTCCGGGCATGACTAATAGTGACTCACGTTCCTATCCAGACCTAAACAAAGATACAGAGTAGCTAGAGGACTAATCAGGGTCTCGCTCAGGTTAATGGTCCTCCTTGTTCCAGAAAGCTCATTAACCCTGTGGTCTCCATTCCCATCCCAAGTCCTTGTTCCGACCCTTGACCTCACATGAAATCCAAGCGCATCCCATAATGCCTGCGAGATGTACCCTCTTAAAGATAACAAATCCACACAGCCTTCTCACCTTCCATCACAAACAACCTCCTACTCCAAAATGCTTTCCTTCTCAGAGGCTGTATTAGTTACTTTTCTGCTGCTGTAATAAAACACCACAACCAAGGTAACTTACAGAAGAAAGAGTTTGACTTACGATTCCTGAGGGATAGGAGTCCATCATAGCAGAGAAACATGGTGGCATGAAGGCCAGAGCAGGAAGCTGAAAACTCACATCCTCAACCACAAGTATGAAACAGAGGGACCTTTTCATCTCAAAGCCCAACCCCTAGGAATGTACTTCTTCAGCAAGGCGGCACCACCTTCACCTCCACAACAGCACCACCAACTAAGGACCAAGTACTCAAATGCCTGAGATTACAGGGGACATTCTCATTCAAACCACAACACAGGCCAATATCCGGTTAGGCCTTAGTCCATCCTCACTGTGTGTGCACAACCTCATAAACAGGGGAACACAAACAAACGTGCTGTTAGAAGCTCCACACAGCTCGGGGGCTCTGCAGTCTTCTGAGCAGCGGTCAGCCGGCCACCGGGAGACCAGTAGGATGGAGGGAGAAGGGACTGCTATCACGGATTGAGGTCCAGCCCCTTGATAGCCTTTTCCCAGGGTCCATGGAAGAATCTAACAACCAGCTGAGGAATCTAATCATAATGATATCAAATGAATCTATGTGCATGAAACTCTTTAGTCCATTCTCTTTATTCTTCTGAGTCAATTCTCTCTCTGCACAGCTTCTATTCAGCTCTCTTAGCTCCTTTCTTGCCTGATTTCTCTCTACATTTTTATGCTGTTCCCTCCATGTGCTATTTTAATTCCTTCATCTAGTTCTGCCCCATCTAGGTTCTCATCCATCTAGTCCTTTCCCATCTCCTTAGTTCTTCCCATCTCCTTCCTTCTCATCTAGTTCTTCCTCATCTTGTTCTTCCCCATCTTCCATCTCGTTCCTCTAGTCCTCTCTTCTAATCTCCCCTTCATCTTCCCCCAGTCCAGTTAAAATACACATAACACCCACAGATCTCTGACTCCCCTGCTTTCTGGTCAGGTAGGGCAAGTCTGCTCCATAGCTAGGCAACCTGCATCCCAGCTCAATGTACCTGATAAGTAAAAGCCCTTTACTTCTGGGTTAATGGTTAAAGGGAGATCTAGAACTAAGATGGCCCTTGGAAGGAAGGAGGTTAAGCTTAATCAGCACATCTGCCAGGCCTGGGCAGTTGTCTCATGGTAGATTTTATCTTCCCTCAGGAACTGACCGATAGTCTGGATGCTGCAGTCTGTTCTTAGAAAGTCTGGGAAGAATCTCAGATAAGATACTTTCGTCCAGAAAAGATCCTGGCCGGATGTTGCTAATGACAGTCTGAAATTAAGGGTCTGGCTGTGTGACTGCTGTTAGCACAGCTGGAGGATGTTATCCAAATACTTTAATTGTAGAGGGGGAAATTATGCCCAATGAGTGATCAAACACACTGTTCTAGGAATGTAAGAGCTACAATAGCATGCAAGAAATTCATTGCAGGAGACAGCTAATATTCAAGAGCCAATAACACCAAGACTTCCTTGAGTCTTGGCTCTATCCTCTGGAAACGCCCTTGCTTTCTTCCAGGTATAGCTTTGTCCTAGTCAGCTGAATTCCTACTTCATATTTCTGCAGCTCACAGCAGACTGCAGTGACTGGTATCCCAACACTAGAGGCACCTCCTCTACTTCTGGCACAGCTACCCTGGCATCTAAACTATCCTAGACTTGCCCTCTGACCCTGCCTTTTTTGGCCATCAGGGTAACCCATGTCTGCAGCATCACTCAGTGTAGTGAGGGTACAGTCTGTAACAAACTATAGATCCAGCCAATCAGATAAACTAGAAATGCTAAAGGTTAAGTACCAAGCACATTCCAGTCCCTTTAGATGTACTTATCTCATTTAATTCCAAAAGACTCTGAGATAGATATAAATATTCTAGTTATACAGATAAACTTACAGAGAATTAATCATAACCTTAGAAAGAATAAGTTACCGATTGTGGTAGTTTGAATAGGAATGGCCCCCATAGACTCATGTGTTTGAACGCTTGGCCTATAGGGAGTGGCACTATTAGGAGGTATGGCCATGTTGCAATAGGTGTGGGCTTGTTGGACGAAGTGTGTATTGTGGGGGCAGGCTTTGAGGTCTCCTATGCTCAAGCTATGCCCAATGTGGCACACAGTTCACTTCCTGTTGCCTGTGGATCAGGGCGTAGAACTTTCAGCTCCTCCAGCACCATGTCTGCCTGCATGCTGCCATACTTCCCACCATGACAATAATGCACTCAACCTCTGAAACTGCAAGCCAGCCCCAATTAAATGTTTTCCTTTGTAAGAGTTGCCATGGTCATGGTGTCTATTTATAGCAATAAAAACCCTATCTAAGACACCAATGTACCTTGAAAGAAAATACAGCAACAAACACATATGACGTCCACGCACTAGACTGATCCACCTGCTAAGCAATCTCAGGGCTAAGGCTGTTATAACCAGTCTCCAGGTGACAAAATAGACACACAGCTGTTCAATTGTTCAGAGTCATGAAGCAATGAATGGAAAAACCAAGATTTAGACACAGGCAGCCAAATTCCAGAACACACGTTCTTAACCACTGTGTCTCCTCTGAGTGTGGCTCAGGACAGAGCACTTGCCTCCCAGGCACAAAACACTGGGTTCAGTCCCCTTGCTGAAAAGGGAAATTAAAAGCACTGTAAGGCTGCTGTGCTATGATGAAGGCCAGATATTTTGTGACCCAAGTCACAGGAAGATGCTCAACACAGTGAATGGACGCGCGGAGGAAAACTTATGCTATGCAATGATTAAACCCCTCATCCGTCTCTGACTCAAACACTGAGAAAAATGTAAGAAGCACTGCCTGCTAGACCTGCTGCTCTCTATAACGTTTTATAGTTTGTGGATTTTCAATCACATGTGTATGATTTTAAGACAAGAAATTGTATGTGTGTGTGTGGTGTGGGGGATAGAACTCAAGGTTTCCCGCATGCAAGTTCTAAACGTTTCCAGTTTCCTCCTTACTTAGGCCTCCCGCTTCTCTGACCTGGTCATTCTATTTTTCTCCCCTTTCAAAGTTGTGGTCAGGTGGCAAAATTGCATACAGGACAGAAACTCTGGACTGCTTGGCTGTTTTTATTTTGTTCCTCTTTTTAATATTACTTTTCTATTAATTGAGAGGCTAGAGAGATGGCTCAGCGGTTAAGAGCACTGACTGTTCTTCCAGAGGACTGGGGTTCCCAGTACCCACAGGGCAGCCCACAGCCATGTGTAGCTCCTCAGCCCCAGGGGATCTGACGCCATCTGCGGGCCCCTGTGGGCAAGTTAACAGTCAAAGGAATTGGTTTCAATATGGCGCTCTTCACACGAATGTGTCACCATACCTTGCTCCACTTCCTTCCCTTCAGGCTCCATCCTCCTCCGGGGCACACTGCTTCCCTCTCCGCCTGGTTCCCTTCCTGCCCCCCAGACAACCATCACTTTCTGCTTTTATGTCGGTCGGATTCCATTACCATCTGTCCTCCTGTTTCGTTAACTTGACGCACACTAGCGTCATTTGAGAAGAGACCATCAACTGCCACCACCGGATTGGCCAGTTGGAATTTTCCTGATGGATGGCTGATGTTTAAGGATCCAGCCCACGATGGACATGCCAGCAAGGGCGGGTGGTCCTGGACAGTGTCAGAAAGCAGGCTGAGCAAGCCTGGGGGAACAAGCCAGTACGCAGCATAACTCCACAGCTTCTGCTTCAGTTCCTGCCTCCAGGTTCCTGCCCTGACTTCTTTTGATGGTGGACTGTGATGGGAAAGTGGAAGCCAAATAAACCCTTTCCTCTCCAAGCTGCTTTTGGTCATGGTGTTTCATCACAACAATGGAAAGCCAACTAAGATGCCCTCTCCTTTTCTCCCCTTCCCTTAAGACACCATGTCTTTTCATGATCGCCCTTCTCGTCCCACCCCATGCCCCTGCACACACTTTAAATCTAGGCTTTGTACAAGAGAAAACAAGCAGCCTTGGTCTTTCTGCAATAGGCTAATTTAGTCCAACATAGTAATTTCCAGTTTCATCCATTTCCCTGCCAATGCCGTAATTTCATTTTTTCTTTATGGCTGAATAAAACCCCATTGTGTACATGTACTACGTTTTCTTTAGCCGTTCATGTGGTGATGGACATCTAGGCAGGTTCCCTTTCCTGGCTGCATGGATGTGCAGGTGTGTCTGTGGTATAGCCAAGCGGGGGCTAGCTGGGTCATAGAGTTCTATTTTCAGGTTTTTGAGGGATGGCCATACTGACTTCTGTGATGGCCACACGTGTTTCATCCCCCTCCCCCACCCCCAGGGTGTGTAAAGTTCTCCTACATCCTCCCCAGCACTTGCTGGCCCCTTCAGTTTGTAAGTGTTAAGTCCTCCATCCTTGCTGAGTCTGAGGCACAGAACTGGACAGGTGGGGTTTGTTGGTGGGTGGGTGTGGGCTGTGCAGAAAGAGAAGGTAGGAACAATGAATGGGCTTCACAGCAAAGGAAAGTCACCAGACCCTGACATCTCCTCCAGACTCCCCACTGCCTGCTTCCTGGTCATGCCGTCCTGACCAATGAGGATGCCTTCCACTCTGCAAAGCCAGCAACACACTGCATGGAGCTGGAGAGACGGCTTGCGGTCAAGAGCCCATACCGCTCTTTCAGAGCTTGCTTCCAGCACCCACATCTGGCTCACAACCACCTGCAACTCCAGCTCCAGGGGATCTGATGCTTCTGGCTTGCTAGTGCACCTACACCCGTGTGCACACACCCACACAGACACACACACACACAGACACAGAATTTAAAATAAAATCTTTAAAAAAGTATCAGCGGCCCGTTTGTCTTTTACACTTTGCAGTTTACAAACTGGCTTTCAAGGATTTTACCTGTTTTGTTAAAACTCAGAATGTAACTGGAACTGGCCGTAGGTCAGAAAATTCCCAGGCAATGCGTTCTGCTTTTATGGGGGCGAAGAAAGGAGCTGATGGGGAAAACCCAGGGAAATTGAAGGAGATGACCGCGTGAGGGAAGCGACTGAGAGGGAGGCTACTGGAGAGCTGCTGTCAGACCCACGCTGTCCTCCACCCCTCTCCCCCGCAAGACAGGGTTTCTCTGTGTAACAGTCCCGGCTGTTCTGGAACGCAAAGAGATTCACCTGCCTCTGCCTCCCAAGTGCTGGGATTAAAGGTGTGCGCCGCCGCCGCCGCCGCCGCCGCCACCACCACCACCCCACCCACCCACCCACCCCCGGGCAGACCCACAGTGTTTACTCCCAGCTGCTGAAGCTGAAACTGGCTACTCAGGCTCGGTCCCACACAGAGCTGAGAAAAACATGCAAGTTCAAGCCCACAGGAGGCATGGTTGTTTGGAAGCACAACACTGCCACCTGGTGGCAGTGTGCGCTGGCTTTCTATGAATGAACGTGTGTATCCATTCACAACTCAGGTATTTTTTCCCTCAGAGATCACACAGTATAAGGCTTTGGGAGATGCCACATCTTAGCTGATTGCAAGATATAACAAACAAACAAGTAAAAGGAACCATTTTAAATCCACAGGCGCCTGGGGAGATAACTCAGTCTGTGAAGTGTGTGCCGTGCGAGCGCGAGAATCTAGGTTTGATCCCAGAACTCATGTAAAAATGGGTGGTGGTGTGTGCTTTTAATCCCAGCACTGGGGAGGTGAAGACCGTGAGCCCCGGGGCTCACTGGCCAGCCAGTCTAGCTTATGGGCAAAGCTCAGGTCTCAGTGAGAAACCTTGTCTCAAGACACAAGGTATGCTGAGGATAACACCCAGTGTTGACCTCTAGCCTACAAAGAGGTCATACTATACAGTGCAAAAGTAAGATGTTACTCTCTGCAAAAAAAAAAAGCCAAGTAGGGGACGTCATTAGGACATTAAGTAACTTATCCTTTCTAGGCAACCAAAGTAAGAGCACATGCACGACTCCAGGAACTGTCCACCAGCTTTTCTTTTTCCTTTTTTGAGGCAGGATCTCTCACTGGCCAAGCAGGCTAGGGTGGGTAGCTAGTGAGTTAGCCCCAGGGATCCGCCTGTCTCTACCTCCTGATGGTTGGGATTCCAAGTGCATAGCACCATGTCTAGATTATTTTTGTTTTATTCTTTGAGACAGGGTCTCACTGTGGAGACCAGGCTGGCCTCAAACTCATAGAAATCCTCCTGCTTTGGCCTCTGAGCGTTGGCATTACAGGTGTGCACCACCACGCCCAGCCCACATCTGGCTTTTGACATGAGAGTTTGGGAGGCCAAACTTGGGTCCTCATGCTTGTAACACCAAGCATCTTGCCAGCTGAGCTTCCTCTCCAGGCTGCCAGAGCCTTGCCAAAGTTAGCATTAGCCAGCAGAGGGAGAGCTGCCGGAGAAGCAGCAGGCAGGAGGCTGTACAGAGTCCAGGACAGTGGCGGTCACCTACTGATCCCAGCTCTGCCTGTCACACAAGCCCCTGAGTTACCCCATTTCACCCTCGGTTTGTGTTCCATCTCTAGTCAGAGATCTCGACAACATGTCCACCATAACTGACGTCTCACCCTGGAAGACGTTCTTACCGGATCAATCCCAAATGGGTAGGGATTTCCAGAATACACTCCTGGGATGGCCGGGTCCAGCTGCAAATACTGACTCTTTTCCATGGCATGAGCACTACAGAGACAAAGTAGAGAGACAAAAGTCATAGACCGATAATCAGTCAGGGGCAGGAATACTACAGTGTCATCGGTCATGAGCTTCCAAGCCAACCAAAGCCCAGATGCTGGCAAGGCGGCAGTTTGGTTCACTCATTGGCTCCATGTTTGGTCACAGAATAGCTAACCATGTGTCAGGTACTGTCCTGAGCCCTGAGGCTTCTGAAGTTACCCTCTTCAGAAGTACAGACTGGGCCGAGGGGAACAGACAGTAAAGGAGAAGGGGTTAGAGCAGGTCTGAGCCATGTGACACCCGGGTCAGTCCTGATGGGCAGATGGACTTTTACACACAGACCTTTATCGCTGTGAAATCCAAGCCCTCCCCCAAAAACAAAGCAGAAAAAACAAAAATGAGGAACTTGGTCTGGCTACCTCTGTCCCCCAGTGGCTAGGTTACAAATCTGTGCTGCCATGCCCAGCATGCCCATCCTTTGAAGTGGATACTGGGGATCTGGATTTGGGTCTGCATGTTGGAACAACAAACCAGGCAAGAAATGTTCCCAGCCCCATTGTTTTTTTTACAAGGCTCTATAGGAAACCCAAGGAGTATGTGTTTGAAATTAAGAACAGAAGACTGACCACTGTGACAAGATACCCAGAAAAGCACTCTCCTCCTGCCGCATCACTGTGCCATGGTCTCAGACAGTGGCTTGGGACACCAGGGAGCCTATTTGGGCCACTAGCATGCTGCCTTCCTTATTGGGCCATACACCCAACCCCAGGGACCACAGGAAGTCTCCAGAAAGACAAGTGTCAGAGGAAGCGGGCCCAGGGCCCAGGCTCTGCCTGAGAGCACTTCAGCTCTGGTGATGGAGGACTGCAACTCTCTCTACCTCACCAAGAACACGGTTCTGCTTTATGCTATCTCAACGCTGGGGTGTATGCTGAGCACTGTCCACCCTGACTCTAGGGTGTCTGAAGAGCCTAGAGCCAGAAGGGCCGTTTGTAGGCACATTAAAGATATACACTTGTACCCACTCCATGGGGGAACAAAATTTCATGTAGTTTTGGGAAATCATACAGATGTAATATATTTTGAAACAGTTCTTCAAGGCGTCTCTTCAGGTGCCTGTTCATCATAAGGGGCAGACCACAAATACAGTCATGTTCTAGCTTCGGTCTTAGCTTTCATTTTTCTTCATCACTTTATCATTGCCATCCTCTACCCCCCAGAACTCGGGCCGTTCACCAAATGAGATCTGCGAACCTCCACATGTCAAGCTAAAAATTGTCACCTTCTGGGCTGGGGATGCAGTCAGTAGGGGCCCACTTGCTTGTAGCAGGACCTGATCTCAGTCCTCTTACTAAAAAACAAAACACCTTCCATTTTCTCCGGAAAGCTTATTTAAGCCTTCTAACAATGGTTTGCAAATAAAATGCCCTGAAGAAAGTTCCCTCGAGCTAATCTCCTCACATGAGACTGCTTGTTTTCTCTCTCCCCTCTTAGATGTCCTCTATAGGCTTGAGTGGAAAAATAAAACCCTTGGATTTCCTTAAATAGAAATGTCATAGGCTGGGCACGGTGAGGCAGAGGCAGGCTGATCTCTAAAAGTTCAAGGCCAGGGCTATGTAGTGAGACCTTGTCTCAAAAAAGGGAAGGAGGGAAGGAAGGAAGGAAGGAAGGAAGGAAGGAAGGAAGGAAGGAAGGAAGGAAGGAAGGAAGGAAGGAAGGAAGGAAATAATACTCCCGTGATAGGAGGAGAGGGAAGAGGCAGGACCGGAAACAAGGCTATAACTGCACCATTTCTGTCTCTCTCAAACTCTGAACCCCCTCTCACCCCAGACCCCCATCCTTGAAGTGTTGTGCTTCCAGTCTGATTAGCTGCTAAAACAGTTGTGGAAAGTACGTGGGAGATGCAGTCCGTGCAGTTGAGAGCTTCTATATGCCTGCTTCCACCCGGCTAGCTCCGCCCACCCTCCTGACTGTCAGCCACAAGCAAATTCAGGAAGCTGCAGATGCAAACTCTCAATCTCCTCCCTGCTCTTAATATTGAACTCTGGCTTTTCTGGACAGCCTAAGGAAATGTGGCGCTGCAGGGGGTGGGGCCTGGAACACTGGAAGTGAAGGTCTGCTACTTTGTCAACTGTGCCTGCCTCTTGTAAGGCAAAGACTTCACTAAACTCCCAGTTGGTGGTTGGAGATTTCATTCTCCCTCTACCTCCACACAAGAACAAAGAACTCTGCCAACCTCGCCCTATTCTCTGTGAAGCTATCTCTCTGCAATACAATAACCAGTTCAGTGGCTGGGGTAGTGGTACAGACAGGTCTTGCACACAAAATAAAACTGGATTACTCGGACTGAAGAGCTGGCTTGGCAGTTAGGAGCACTGGCTGCTCTTGCAGAGGACCCAAGTTCACTTCCCAGCAACCAAGTGGCAGCTCAGAAAAACCATCTAACTGCAGTTTCAGGGGATCCAATGTCCTCTTCTGACCTCTGCTGCACACACATTGTACACATACATACATGTAGGTAAAACATTCATACACGTAAAGTACTAATAAATAAATCTTTTTTTAAAAAAAGGTGCATTAGGTGAAATTTCAGGGGCATCTGTGATCAGAGCCTTGTGGAAACCCTCTCAGCTGTAGAGGTCTTTGGATGACCAGTCAACAAGCACGCCCTGGCAGGCTGTAAACTTACTTCCATGTGCCATTTCTGAACATAGGCTGGACGCTCCAAGAGGATCCAAAGATGTTAAAAGATTTGGAGAAGCAGTCATTGTAGATCAAGCCAGTGTAGATGGAGAATACGCCCATGAGCAGGATCAGGTAACGCCCATTGAAGAAGGTGTTCCAGATCTGGCCCAGGGAAACAGACAGGGCGAGTTGTCAGCGGGGTCTGAAGAGATGCAGGAGATGGGATGTCACCAGCATCAGTAGTGTGGAGAGAGATGGCCAGACCAAGGCAGACATCATATTCCCACATGCCAGGGTGACCTGATCTTATGCAGGTTAATCAGAGAATCCCTGGCCTGTATTTACTGTGCAAACAAAAATGTGTAAGCCTCATGTTCTTTCTTTCAGCAGAATGGACTGCCATGCACGCTGAGGCCTCATCTGCTAAGGAAGGGACTGTGGTCTCCAGCACCTCCAGGAGGGAAGCCTGAACTGGCCTCTGCTCCACTGTCCCAAGTCAGATCTGTATTCACTGGGGGCTTTGTCTTCAGAGCCGGGCTTTTGTCTGCCACATCTGCCAGGGAAAGCAGTTTCCTGGGGCACTGGATATAGGTTATCATTCATTCTAAGGATGCTAGATACAGATATCATTCATTCTAAGGATGCCAGATATAAGTATTCATTCTAAGGATGCTGGATACGGGTATTACTCATTCTAAGAACTGTTGACATGTTGTTTTCCAACTTTAAATGTTTCTATAGGAAATGACATCTGTTAAAAGCTTACCATGGAAGACTGAATTGGTCACAAGACTAACCTTGCTTATGATTAACTCACAATGACATCATGGCACTTGCTCTACCAATCCAGCCTGTGCCAAAGGACTGCAGCCATCTTACAGTCTGGAACATAGCTAAGGGCATGTTTCCACTCTGTTGAGTGCATTACCATGAGCACATCTGCCATTAACTGACTGGCAGACAAATTCCAACCCTCACAGGCCCCCATGGGCTTCTACCTCCAAAGCAAAGTGGAAGGGCACCATGCCACAGGCAGAGAGACTTCAAGTCAAGTGTGAGGTTCCAATGTCAGGAGCCCTTGGGGATTCTTAAAAAAAGATTCTGCCATGAACAAACATTCATGGTATTTTAAGACAGGTTTTAAAGGAAGCTACAAACAATGTGTAGTTCTTGATGGCAACTTTTGAAAATTACATATCTGCAGATAAGCACAAAGACACAAAATGGAAATATATTCAAAAGTATTCATCACCATCTTTCTCTAGGTGGTTGGACTGTAGTCCAAACTAAGTTCTACAATAAATGTTTTGCTTTTATAATCAGAGTAAAGAAAGTTTTTTAAAAATTAAAAGAAGGCTAGGTTTAATTCCAGCACTCCAACGGCAGAAGTAAACAGATCTCTATGAGTTTGAGACCAGGTTGGTTTGTATAGTGAGATCCTGTCTCAAAATAATAATAATGATGATGATGGGGACTGGAGGGATAACAATGGTAGAATCCTTGCTAAGTACACACAAGTTCCTGGGTTTATTTCTCAATACCCCCAAACAGGAACAAAAATCAGCACTTTAAGGTTGCCTAGTATGTGAGACTGTGGGAGTCCAGCTCCCACCTATTCTGGAGTTCTTAGGAGGAGGAAAGGGTTATAAGAAAATATTAGATAGAAAGAGAGACCTAGCTAACGAGAAGAAAGAAACACAGGATAGCTTCGGAAGGGCCTGAATCAATACCCAACAGTCTTGTCCTTTATTGAAAAGGGCTTTTTATAACAATGCCAAGGGATGGGGTAAAAAACCTCCCCCTTGCAAGATCAAAGCACACCTCACAGCCAAGTGTAGACCCTTCCAAACAACTGGTAAACACGCCCGTGGACAAATCATCCCCTTATGCAGCCCTGCTGGGTAAAGCAAGCTCAGATTTTCGGACCCTGAGTAAGTTCTCACTAGGAAACCTCTGTGGGCTCCCACAGCCTAGCATGCATAATCTAGTGTCCAACATAGACCTGACATAGCATTTGTATGCCTGCAATCTAAGCTTCCAGAGGTAGAGACAGGAGGCTCAGAAGCCAAAGGTCAACCTTGGCTGCACAATGAGTTGGAAGTCAGGCTGCAATACATGAGACTCTGTCTAAAAAAAGAAAAAAAAAACACAAAAAAACAAAAACAAAAACAAGTCAAAACCCAATGCCTTGTTATGCCACAGACAAAATCCCAAAAGACCTGATGAACTTACTGCAGCAAGCCACCCAAAGGAACCATCATGTTCAAAGGCTTTATGTTGAATTGGGCTATTGGTTTTTTTGAGATAGGGTTTCTCTGTATAGCCCTGGCTGTCCTGGAACTTTCTCTGTAGATCAGGCTGGCCTCGAACACAGAGATCCACCTGCCTCTACATCCTGAGTGCTGGGATTAAAGACAAGCACATGAGCCATCACCACTTGGCTGAACTGGGCTATTTTTAAACTTTATATTTTTTTTCTTCTTTTCACAAAATCTTGTTATTCCTTATAGTGACAGTCCGCATACACATTTTTTAAACAGATTGATTCTTATGTGTATTTTTTATGTGTGAGTATATGCCACATGTGTTCGGGTACCTAAGGAAGCCGGAAGAGGGAGTTGGATGCCCTGGAGCTAGAGTTACAGGTGGTTGTGAGCTGCCCAGCAAAGGTGCTGGGAACCGAACCCAGGTCTTCTACAAGCGCACTTCGAACTCTTAACTGCTGAGCCATCTCTCGAGCCCTTCACATATACATTTTGTTTTTGTTTTTTTGTTTGGTCAAGATAAGGTCTCACTGTCTCTTGGTCTGGCCGTCCTGGAACCCACTATGTAGCCTAGGGTAGCCTTGAACTCAGAGATCTTCCTGTCCCTTCCTCCCAGGCGTGTGCTACCACGACCAACACCTCGAGTACACATGTTGATGTGTTCCCTCTGGCTGACCGCCTACCTCGTTGGTGCTCTTCTGAGCCAGCAGGCGCCTCTCGTTTAGGACCATCCACAGGGCTGCCATCAGCATCACCATCCCGTGACCGCAGTCTCCAAACATCACGGCGAACAGGAAGGGGAAGGTGACGATCGTGTAGGGAGCTGTAGGGGTGACATCCACAACAGCTGAGGCCCCTGAATGGGCCCTCACCCCTGAACCAAGATTTCTCTAGAGAGGCCCCTCCTGCTGCTGGCGGGTCCCCACAGGCCTTCCTGATTGTCTCTCCCCCACCATCTCCACACAGTCCTGGCGTGGTTCCCGTGTGCCCGAGCTAGCCCATGAGCACAGGTTCTCCTTTCTCGGTTTGTGGCGGCACTGGGTCTCACACAGGTGACTCAGGCTTGAAGCCTCCCACGGTCACAAAGCTAGATGGCATTTGTAATGGCTGATCGTGACTGCTCGCTGGATCAGTCCAGTGTGATGGTACCCCAGAGAGAATGAGATCCTGAGGGCCCTGACCTAACCCCTGGATTAATCCCTTGATGGATTCATAGGATGGTGGCATTGGGAGGGGGTGAAAGGTATTGCATGTGGTCTAAGGCCTCATCTGCTAAATAAGGAAACTGTCAGGCTGTTGTCTAGGGCATCTCCACAGGACAGTCCCTGAGCTGGCCTTCAATGCCTGCTCTTCCCTCATTGGTTGGATCTGTATTCATTTGAGGAAATAGGTCACTGGTGGGGACTTGTGCTGGCTAGTTTTTTTGTCAACTTGGCACAAGCTAGAGTCATTCTAGGAAGAAGCCTCCATCAGATTGGCTGGTAGGCAAGTCTGTGGGGGCATTTTCTTATTAATGAGAAGGCCCAGCCCACTGGGAGCAGTGCCACCCTGGTGTTTTAGAAAGCAAGCTGAACAAGCCATGAAGAGCACGGCAGTAAGCAGCCTTCCTCCACGGTCTCTGCTTCAGTTCCTGCCCTGACTTCCCTTTACGATGAACTACAACTATAAGCTGGACTAAACCCTCACCTCCCCAAGTTGCTTTTGGTCATAGTGTTTATCACAGCCACGGAAATCAAACAAGAGTAAGATTCTGGGCTGGAGAGATGGCTCAGAGGTTAAGAGCACTGGCTGCTCTCCCAAAGGTCCTGAGTTCAATTCCCAGCAACCACATGGTGGCTCACAACCATCTGTAATGAGCTCTGGTGCCCTCTTCTGGCGTGCAGGCATACATGCAGGCAGAACAGTGTATACATAAATAAATAAATCTTAAAAAAAAAAAAAGTAAGATTCTACCTTGCCCTGGCCCCTTCCCACATTCCCCTTTTCTCAGTTCTTGTTTCTTCTCCCTAGCATGCTTCTGCAACCATGATGCTCTGCCCAAGGGACCAAGCATCCTTGTACTGAACCCTCTAAAGCTGTGAGCTAAAATAATCCTCCCTCCCTGTGGTGAGCTGAAGGACTAATGTCCCCCACAGGCTCACATATTTGAGTACTGGCTCTCCAGTTGGTGGGACTATTTGGGAAGATTATGGAACCTTTAGGAGGTAGAGCCTTGATGGACTTTAGATTTTATAGCCTTGCCCCACTTCCTGTTCTCTTTCTCCGTTTCCTGTGTGCAGATGAAAATGTGGTGCCCCAGCTTCCTGCTTCTACTGCTCTGTCTGTTGCCATGATATACTGTCCCTCTGGAACCATGAACTAAAATAAACCTTTGTTTCCCTAAGTTTCTTTTTGTCAGGGCATTTTATTACAGCAACAGAAAAGTACTAATACAACCCCATCTGCCGTCAGCTGTCTATGGAGGTATTCGGCCAGTGTCATGAAGGCGGCTGACAGGACTGAAAGCCTGCCTCTGACTTCTACAATACCATCTTTGGTCTGTCTCCACCACAGATACAACACCAGCAGTTTACTCACCAGCATTGGGACCCCTTCAAGCCCTGAATTATTGGTCACAAGTTAGAGAAGACTCAGGCAGGAGAACCGCACCGTTCTCTGTGTGGCTATGGAGCATCTGTTTTACTAACCAGAGAACAAGGCAGGGGACTAAGTATCTATTCTCCTGATCCCAAGTCCTTTCTCAGACAATGACTTCAGGATTATAAAGATGCTAGAGGGCCTTGACTGACTTGGAGAAGAAAATGAAAACTAGGGTTGGCTGCCATTTAAAACAGCCAGGTGTGGTATCACACAGTTGTATGCTCAGTGCTCAGATGGAAACACAGGGGATCACGAGTTCAAGGCCACCCTGGGCTACATACAAGAACCTGACTGTAAACAAAAACATACTCAAGGAGGGGTGAAGACAAAAAAAATAAATAAATCGTTCATGAGTTAGCATCTACAAAAGGCAAATCAGGGCATCAGGAAACCAAACGAGGTTGTAGAAGGTCACGGTGTGATTGGATTCACCTCTTGCATTTACTGAGAGGCACACCTTAGTAATTTTCAATTTCGTGCTACCTCATTGTGCAAGGCATCAGACCCTTACCTGGGTTGATCTCTCTGTAGCTGCCTACACCATACGCATCAACAATGTTCTGGAAGCCAGCTGTAAACTTATTGGTCCTGTTGAAGGTGGGAGGGTCTGTTTTAGTCTCCACTTCTGTCATGATGGGGACCATGGAAGAGCCACTGAGTTCCTGCAGAAAGAACAGGTGACCCATGTGTATATATGAGAGCTAAGTGCTGGCCCCCAGATCTGAACATGAACTTGGGACATTTCTTGACCTCCCTAAGAACCACGATCCCACCTATGAAAGGTGAATATGTCTCAATACTTACCTAATGTCTCTTACAGGAGTGTATCAAAAGGGCAGAGGCTGTCCTGGTTCTCTGGCCATCCTCCATCCCCCAACACACACACACACACACACACACACACACACACACACACACACACACACACACACACACACTTCTTCCCTCTCTCCACCTTTCTTCAGAAGGTCAACCATTTTGATAATTCATCTATATCTTTCAAGTGGCACCAACCTTCTCCCTCACTCTCTTCTAACTGCCCGATAGGTTTTCCTGACTCAGCAGCTCTAGAAAATCCACACTCCTGTAGCTGAATCACCAACTTGCCCTGGCTAGGTCCTCCATTTTCCCAGATTCTTAAAGTTCTGTAGCCACCATTTCGGTCCCATCTCCTGACTTAGTGGCCACCATTCCAGCTCAATACTTCTCCCTCCTGAATCCTGACTCCTGTTCTCTAAGTTGCCACCCTAGCCAGGCCTCACCATCTCCAGCCTAGGTGCCTCCTGTTGATTCACTCACCCACCTGCCCCGCCCAGTCCTGTCTAGAATGAAGGAAACAGAAGGCATTGTTCTTCACAGGCTGCTACAGCCTGAAGAGTGAAGTCCAAACACCTTAGGCTCACAGTAAAGGCTTCTTTAGGAGGTTGACGTCTTCACAACCTGCTCCTCATGGAAGTCAAGACTATGAAAGGCACCACCTCCATCTGCCCAAGCCTTCCCAACTCTCCGCACGTTCCATCCACCACCCCAAACCTCCACAGCGATGGGCAGAGGTGCTCTTGGTTGGACTCCACCAACTGAAGGGCAGAGTTTAGTCTCCATTCACCTGATTCCCAGAGGCAGACCTCAAGACAAATCCCAGTTCAGAAATAAGGAAACTGAGGCACAGCAGGGTTAAACTGTTCCAGGTCATAAGGCAGGGGGCGGTGTTTCCCACTGTATTGTTAAGGGGGACTAGGAATCTCCTCCTTAGCAGCAAGCCCCAAAGCCTCCTCTTCTTCCTGTACACACCCCAGGGCAGCTGACACAGGCTGGCAGAAGCCACAAGGGAAGGGATTGTTGATGATGACGACAGTACCCAGCACCTGGTCTCTCTTCACACTTCCTTCTGCCTCCCACTCACACAGCGCCTCCCACGCCTGTCTGGGGAAGCACCTGTGATATCTCAGGGGGTTGAAGAAACTGCTAGCCGGCCTTGTCGGAAGCCTAGCCTTAGGATGACACAGGGTGGCACTGAGACAGGGTCTCCTGTATCTCGAGGCTGGCCTGGAAGTAGCTATTACTCGAGGATGACCTTGAACTTCAGATCCTTCTGGGTCTAACTCCTGAGTACTGGGATTACGGGCGCGCTCCACCATTCGGCTGTATTCTGAGTTTAAGTCTCACGCTATCAGTGTGGCACCACCACCTCCCTGGTGGCCCAGCTCTCCCCATTCTGCAGTGAAAATGTTCCTAAAATACAGACAGGACTAGGCCACTCTGGCATGGAATAAAACTGTGCCCCTAAGCCACTAAATTGGCTCAGTAGGTAAGGGTGCTTGCCACCAAACCGATGATCTGAGTTCAATTCCTGGTGGAGGGAGGAAATCAACTCAGACAGGTTATCCTCTGACCTCCACATGTGCACACCCCACATACACACAAGTTAAATGTAATAAAATGTTCTATTCCCCCCCCCCTACACTGTTCTGAGGGCCACTTAGGATCCTCATCCTCCATCCTACACCAGCCCTGCCCCCTCCCTGCTCCTACCCTGCACCCACCCTGCCCCTTCCCTGCTCACTGAGCACTCTGCTCCGCCATTCCTCCAGAAAGCACCCCTGCTCGGTCCCATCGGAGGAAAATGCACCATTTTAAAATGCCCCTTCTGTGTGGTTTGGGAACGACACTTGCGGGTCACCAAGCACCCTGCACCCTGAAGTCCCGCCTCCCTGCCTCTGACCTGCGATTGCTCTCTGTGCCTCCATTCCCTTCGGCAGGAGCACAGACAGCTCTCATCTCCTTGGCCATGTCCACCACAAGCTCTCCCTTTAGACCCCTCAGCCTGAAAGCGTTACCTCACAGTATTCCCAGGGTACTCAGCAACATCTGCTCTGATTGCCACCTGCTCAGGGGGCTTGTCTGGCAATAGCTGCCATGGGTCGTGTCCCCCGCTACCAGATGTACCACCTGCCTAGCAGGAAGTCTTCCCACCTTCCCAGCTAGATCTCTATCAGTCAGACCAGCTTCCCTCCACCCGGCCCCTCAACCGGATAGGGTTACCACCCTGACACTCCATGCAGTGATCCGAGCAAGGGTATCACATTCTCCAGCAGGAACCCACCGGTCCACCCTGCTGACACCGCAGAGCCCATTCCCACTTGTGGCTCACTCTGGCCCTAGAGCCCTATGTGGCTCTGCATGGCACGAGGCATCCTCCTGCCTGGGCTTGGATGGCATTGCTACTGTTCTCACACACCCAGCACCAAGCGTCAGCCCTCAGGCAACTCTTTGGGCTGGGGCTCGCTCTTTCTTCGATGAGGCCAAAGGCAAACCAGCTTCTCTCCCATGACGTCCTTCATCTCCCTAACCCACGTTCACAGCTGCCCGCGAGCACATACTCAGGACATGTGCGGTGCTCATCTTTCCTTCTAGAAAGTCTACTGGGGGCGCTGGAGAGATGGCTCAGTGGTTAAGAGCACCGTCTGCTCTTCCAGAGGTCCTGAGTTCAACTCCCAGCAACCACATGGTGGCTCACACCTATCCCTAGTGGGATCTGACGCCCCCTTCTGGCATAAAGTTGCACATGCAGATGGAGCACTCATATACATAAATAAATAATAAAATCTTTAAAAAAGAAGAAAAGGAAATCTAAAGTCTACTGGGGGCGAAGTCCTGTCTACCCAGGGAGCTCTGGATCCACTGTGCCCAGTGAAAGTGTAGCAGATAAACAAGGAGGTAGTAACTAAACACCATGCAAGTGCTCCGTGCTGCAGCTGGCATGCCGCACTGTGTGTGCCTGAGGACAAGGGCTTGGCTGCTTGTCTCTCTAGCTAGCCTATACCTCCCTAAGGTGACAGGCGGCACCTATGTCACTCTATGAGCACTCAAAATGTACAGAAATGGTGGCAGTTTTTCAATTGCTGGGGGAAAGGAGTTTCTCTTCTATGCCTTAGCACTGAGTTAAGAATCAAAGGTAGCCGGGCGGTGGTGGCGCACGCCTTCAATCCCAGCACTTGGGAGGCAGAGCCAGGCGGATCTCTGTGAGTTCGAGCCCAGCCTGGTCTACCAAGTGAGTCCCAGGAAAGGCACAAAGCTACACAGAGAAACCCTGTCTCGAAAAACCAAAAAAAAAAAAAAAAAAAAAAAGGTACATTATCTCATTAAAGGCATAATTATTTAAAAAAAAAAAACAAGAATCAAAGGTAAAGGGGTTGGGGATGGAGCTCAGTCAGTGCCTGCCTAGCATCTCTGGGCTCAGTCCCCAGCACTGAATAAATCAGGTGTAGTGATGCATGCCTGGAGTCACAAGTTCAAGGTCAGCCAGCAGTGGTGGCACATGCCTTCAACCCCAGCTCTCCAGAGACAAAGGCAGGTGGATCTCTATGAGAGTGAGGCCAACCTGATCCATAGAGTGAGTTCCAGGACAGCCAGGGCCACACAGAGAAACCCTGTCTCAAAAAACAAAAAAGTTTAAGTTCATCCTCAGTTGCATAGAGGCGCTCTCTCTCTCTCTCTCTCTCTCTCTCTCTCTCTCTCTCTCTCTCTCTATGTACTGGAGGTACACGGTAGAGACAATTCTACCACAAAGTCACCTGTTAAGTTCACAACCCCAGACAGGATGAACAGGGGTCCGGGAGGTCGGATGTTATTTTCCTCCCAGTTGCCCCTGCCACTCACCATGCCCTGCTCCAGGGCCCTCTTGATGTGCCTGGTGTCTGCTACCGGGAACCAGATCTCGGCGATGATGCACTGCTGGGTGACATCGATGTTGCACATGTTCAGGACGTGGTAGACGGCCTTCATCTTCTGTACCTTGATGACCCAGGAGTGCCAGTTGGTGGCTGCTTCCTGCAGCAGGCGCTGTCGGTGAGAGTCTGTTTGGGTGATGACCTGGGCAAAAACAAAAACAGAAAAGCAATGAACATTCGTGGGGGTATTCGACACGACGTCCAAAAGGGAGGTTCGTCCGCCACAGTGGCGTCTCCTGCCCTGGAGAGAGCACGTGATCAGTTTGTTTCCCCTAGCCAAGGTTAGACCCTATGAACAAAGGCCTTTTCTCCTTTTTCCTCCTCCTCTCTAAACTATTTTCTTCCTCTTCCTCCTGCTCTGGGTTGAACTGGATCAGCATGACCCTGGATCGAGAGATCAAGGCACACAAGAAGTACACCACGGGAACGCGGCAGCAATGGGAACGATGCACCCACTAGCCAAGGGCATCAAGTCGCCAGTGGCCACCAGACACTGGGGAAGACAGGAAGGCTCCTCCCTCAGCCTTCTCAGCAAGAGCCCAGCCCGGGTGGCACCTTGATTTTGGACCTCTGGCCTCCTGAAAGAACTGTGTGTGAGAGAAGCAATGTCTATTACTTGAACCTACCCATTTTTGGTCATGTTACAATGTCTCCAGGACAGACCAATCATTCTCCGTAATAAAATCTTCGATAAATGCCAAGGGAGTCCATGAAGGGGCAACTTGGTGCTCATAATGATGGAATTACATTTCCTGCTTTGACAAATAAAGCAGGGTCATCTTTTCAGTCATCTTTCCTATGTTATAAAAGACAGACCATGAACGTGAGACCTGTAATACACAGGCCTGCACATGTGTCTTGAAGGGTCACTTGAGGGTGTGATGCAACCCGGCCTGAGGATTACCAGGAGACAAGACCACCTTTGGCACAGGTAAGTGTTCACTAACTTTACAACGAAGCTCACCCTAACAAGAACACTGTGCACTCTCCACAAAAGGAACACCTGCAGGCAAGAAACGGCTCAGTGTGTCAAGGTGCTCACTGTAAGCCTGACTTCCTGAGTGTGATTCCCAGAACCTACGTGGAGAAAACAACCCATTCTTAAAAGTTGTCCTCTGACTTCCACATGCCATAATACATGTGCTTACACACACACACACACACACACACACACGCACACACACGCACGCACGCACACACGCACACACGCACGCACGCACACACACACATATACACACACACACGCACACACGCACACACACATATACACACACACGCACACACACACGCACGCACACACACACACACGCACACACACACACGCACACACACGCACACACACACACACGCACACACACACGCACGCACGCACGCACATACACACGCACGCACGCACACACACACACATGCACACACACACACGCACACACACACACGCACGCACGCACGCACACACACACACGCACACACACACACGCACACACACACACGCACGCACACACACACACACACACGCACGCACATACACACGCACGCACACACACACACACGCACACACACACACGCACGCACGCACACACACACACACACACACGCACGCACACACACACGCACGCACACACACACACACAACGTAATTTAAAAAAATCCTGCTCACAGGCAGGACTGAATCCTAGAATCCTAGGATATAGAAACGCTGAGAATGGACTCCTTCAGTCGATCATGTGAGACCATGCCTACACATGCCTGTTTTCACAATTTGTCTTACAAGCTCGCTGCCTGACACAGGACAGAGTCTCAGATCCATCCTTGGCTTTGACTGAACAGAAGGGGAAAAGCTGGTCAATCAGAATTTCCCCAGATCCCTGAACACAACCACCCAAGTCCACTACACACAAACACAACCAGCCTCATTCCTTCCTCATTCTCCTCAGGATGCATCCCTGAGGTCCATCACAGAGCATTTTCATAAAAAGAAACGCCTGACAGAAAGAGTTGCTGGAGCCAGGCGGTGGTGGCGCACGCCTTTAATCCCAGCACTCGGGAGGCAGAGGCAGGCGGATCTCTGTGAGTTTGAGGCCAGCCTGGGCTACAGAGTGAGTTCCAGGACAGGCGCAAAGCTACACAGAGAAACCCTGTCTCGAAAAACCAAAAAAGAAAAGAAAAAAGAAAGAGTTGCTGGGACAGCGGCAAAAGAGAACAGAGAACATTTAACTACAGATATTCTGGAGAGTCAAAGTGTCTGCCGGCCAAAGGCTTTTAAAACACACAGGCCAAGTGTTGTGGCATATACCTGTAACTCCAGCATTTAGGAGACTGAAGCAGGAGGATTGACATGAGTTCAAAACAAGCCGGGATTCTGTAACAAATAGCAGCCCACCTAGGGCTATACAGCAAGACCCAGTCTCAAAGATGAATAAAACTTCATCTCTAAACTCACACACTGAAGATTTAAATTGTGCTAGCCTATCCAGTAGCCATGTGCAACTTTGGGAATCTAAATTTAATAAAAATTAAATAGTGGTCCGGCCCAATGGCTCAGCTGGTAAAGCACTTGCCTCGCACACATGAAAACATGAGTTCGATTCCCCAGAATTCACTTCAAAGTGCCAGGCCCCGTGGTATATGCTAGTAATCCAAGGCTGAGGGGATAGAGACCGGGTCCCTGGGGCTTTCTGGCCAGTCTGCCTACCTAACGGGGAGCACTGGTAAAACCAGGGGCCCTGTCTCAAAGAAGGTAGATGGCATCCCTGAAGATATCTGAAACTGAAATTGTCCCCTGGCTTCTGCACATGTGCACGCATACACATGTACCCGCACACACTCCTAAACACACTCGTGTGTGCACAAAATTTAAATAGCAATCAAAATTCAGTCCCTTGGTGTCACTAGCCATGTGTCAAGAGCCCAGCAGCCACCTGTGGCCCATAATGCCAGCACTGGCTAGAGCGGACTGCAGAGCAATTCTGGGGCATGGAAAGTTACAATGGACAGCCCTGGTACAGAATACGCCATCGTCAGATGGAGGGCCAGAGGACTTTAACAACCAGTTTCCACGCCGCTGCTGTTCAAGAGCATTCTAATCGCAGACATACGTGGCGTCACTGGGGATGATGACAGACCTTTCTGAGGAAATGTACCTGGGATGCCTCAAGTACTCACAAGGACAAACCAGACTAGAGTTTTCACAGTCCTTAATCGGTACAACAATTCAGTACGGGCAAACTGGTTGCTCCACTCCGTAGCTGATTAGCTGATTAGCTGGGTTGTAGACTCATCAGGCAAAGGCTGGCCATAAAGGATTCCTTTCATCAGATTAGGGCAGCTGCCTGAAGGTAAACTAGGGCTGTGCTCCGTTCTAAACTGAGCAGCGTGTGACAGGCATGCAGAATTGGCAGCCCCGGCTCACTGAACAGCGCTTTCTAATTGTGCAATCGGCTGCAGTTCCAACCAGAATTGCAAAGCAAACATTCCAGGCAGGGCCCCGGGACAGGACTCGGGAGGAAAGGCCCCCATCAGCTCATGGCCTGAAGCCCTCACTCACAGTGATCAAGTCTTCCAGCCTCACGTTGACACTGGCCAGCATCTCTCTGCGCTCGGCTGCAGGCTCCGGGCAGGGGTAGATGGTGGCGCGGAACCTGTGTTTAACACATTGAAAGGACACACATGAGTTACTACAGAAAGGCTTCCACAGTCCCTTTCTCACGAGGCCACCACGGACTGACTGACACCGCTCAAATGGCCAAGCCTTTGCTCAAATGGTCAAGCCTCCTGTGCGGTCGTTAGAAAATGATTCACAACAGCTGGGCACAGTGCCTCATGCCTATTATCCCAGCACTCAGAAGGCTGCTGAGGCAGGAGGATTACAAGCTCAAAGCTCCCATAGAGGGCAGTCAAGGCCGGCCTGGGGGTACACGTCAATGGGAGAGTGCTTTCCTAGCATGGGTTGAGGTCCTCGGCTCAATCCCCAGGAACACCATACACACACACACACACACACACACACACACGTAAAATTAAAACTGTTCTCCAGAAACAGCTGAGCCATGGTGATCACTCTCTTCTTTTCTGTTTATTCTTTTTCAGGGCCTCCGGCATGCCAGGCAAGGGCCCTCCCACCACGCTCCAGCCCCAGCCCCGGTCTGCCCACTCAACAGCAGCGAGAGTGGAACAAGCTCTGACCTGAAAAGGTCCTGTCTGCTTTGTGTTCCCTTTGTTCGTTCCCCCTCCCTGTCCGTACCCTCACAACTATTGACGTCGGTTGCGCTTCCAACATCATCTTAAACGGTCTTCGGAAAGTTATTCTAAAGCCCTAGCCGTCCAGGCACGTCCTTCTGCACGGCACAGCTCTTTACCTCATCCCGACCCCGATCACCATGACAGAGCATGGCAGTCTCTCTCACCCGTCACAGATCTTCTTGATTTTCAGCCTGAGCTGTTCCCCTTGATAAAATATGATGAATATATTCTTTTTAATTTCTTCTTTCTGGAAGATCAGGGGAAAAATTATTTTTCTTCCTTCCTTCCCCAGTGCTGGGGATGAAACCATGGTGTGAACACTCTCCCACTGAGCTACACCCTGGCAGAACATAAACTATAAAAACAGAAGGCCTCGAAGTAACAGCTGCACTGCTTGCTAGGTGATGGAGGCCACAGCTGGGCTTTGAATTCTCACCCCCATAGGGAAGAGCATGCTCACACCCAAGGAAGCACCTCTGAGAGGGGCTAGGATATTTCAAGGTTCAGAGCCGCAGCAGCCAGCCTGGGCATCAGAAGCAGCCGTAAACATCTGCATGTCACAAATAAGTCTACGTTTGATACTTAACAAAGGGAAGGCCGTGACTAAGTTTTGATTCATCCAGCTACTGATTAGGTGTCCTTAAGAGCACTGCTTAGGCTGGGTGTGGTGGCACACGCCTTTAATCCCAGCACTCTGGGGAACTCAGAGGCAGGTGAATGTCATCAGTTTCAGGCCAGTCGGGACTAAGTGGTGAGACCCTGTCTTAAAGGAACAAGCCGGGTGGTGGTGGCGCATGCCTTTAATCCCAGCCCTGGGAGGCAGAGGCAGGTGGATCTCTGTGAGTTCGAGGCCAGCCTGGTCTACAGAGTGAGTTCCAGGACAGCCAGGACTGTTTCACAGAGTAAACCTTGTCTCAAAAAAAAAAAAAAATGATATACATGATCACTCTGGCAGTTGCTCATAGGAACAGGTTAGGGGTATTTTAGGATTTCTGGAAACACCTGCTTTACACAATTTCCAAATATCCTCTACCCATGGAAACTGGTCATTTTCGGAATCTTTGAGGTCATCTAGACTCTAGATCCACTAGAATCAGGGGTCCATTCTGGCACCTGCTGGGCCACCCTCCATGTCAATGATCATCTTTCTCCAGACATTCCCTTTATGAATACTCTCCCACCAAGATGACCACATGTCAAAACTTGATTGTAAAGTGGCAATTCAATGTCACAATTTAAAATATCCATAGAAACCGGGCATGGTTGGACCACGCCTGTGATCTCAGCACTTGGACACCACAGGCAAGGAAGATCAGGGCTTTCAGGCCAGCCTCTGCTACATGGACAATTTGAGACTTTGTCAAAAACAAAAACAAAACAAAAACCACCCATACAAATAATAAGACTAAAGGATGCACAGGATTATGGGTAGAAATTCTCTTCTTAAGGGCTGGAGGATGGCTCAGGGGTTAAGAGCACTGACTGCTCTTCCAGAGGTCCTGAGTTCAGAGGTAAGTGCTCTTAACCCCTGAGCCATCTCTCCAGCCCCTACATGGTGGCTCACAACCACCTGTAATGGTGCCCTCTTCTGGCCTGCAGGGACACATGCAGGCAGAACACTGTATACCTATAAATAAATAAGAAAAAATTTAATTTAAAAAAAAAAAGAAAGAAATTTTATTATTTTAAATGAAAAAGCAGAAAAGTCATTTCTCTATAAAATTATAACTGCCAATGATTAGAGAGAAGCAATACAAGGAGATAATAGAATATATTGGTGTACTTACTGAAGAGTGTGCTTTGTACATTTTAAAATTATTCACAGGAGAGAACACAACACTGTCCCCCACTATCACAAATTATGGGGTCATTGGGGTCAGCACATCCCAGATGTAATGGGTAAACCTCACCCTGGGAAAACCCTGGCATCTCCTCCCCAGATACATATGTGTGATTTTTTTTAACTTATTTTCTATTTTATTTCAACGATGACTTTTTTCAATCAAATGAAATTTAAGATTAATGGTTTTAGCATCTAATCTGGAAGACTAGAGACTTTTGGCTTCTGGGAGAGAAAGGACAAGTGGGTTTAAACATTAATTGGGAGGGTGGAGGAAAGCAATTAGCTTGTGGAATTAACAGCAACAAACAGTAGTTTTCAGGGAAGAGCCTTCTCATTGGAAGGGCTGTAGGCAGCCACCATCCATCTATCTTATCAACATCATCTGGAAGGCTGTAAAACCTGCAGACCCTCAGGCTCCACCCCAGCCCAGCTAGATCCCAGGTGACTCTGCAACCTGTAAGCACATTGAAGCTTGAGAAACAGACTCCAATCAGCTCTGGGTGCATTTGTGATGAAAACAGCTTTGGCCCCTCACGGTTCTTGTATAGTAAGTTTCTAGAAACAAGATACCCATACACTTTGAGGAAGGAACCAATTAGGAGGTGTTAAGAAGAATTGGTCCTTAGATGGACCCTTCAAATGTATTAAGTTTAAAAGGTGGGGGGTGGGGTGAAATAAAGAGAAAAGAAAGGGGAAAGGAAAGGGAAGGAGAGAGGAGGCATGGGAGGAAACAGACACTGGCTGGTTGTGAGAGAGGTGTCCTTAGTGCTATGGACTCCAGGAAGCTCCCAGAACCCTTTCTGGAGGCCTGGACCACCCACCGTCACGGGATCCTCCAGAAGTGTGTCCATCTCGCTGAACTTCAAGTACACGTTTCCCCGGCAAACTCTCCACAGAAGCCTCTCAAAGGAAGCCATCCTCTCCCTGTGTATCACGCCAGCCGTGAACCTAGATGGTAGGAAGGGACACCACTGAGGCACAGGGCCTGTGGGAGGGAATGATGGGAGCTGCTCACAAACCACATATCCCAGCTCCAACCTGCCCACATCTTGCTGTTGTCTGTTTTCTTCAACACTCTGTATCCTTAATCATTGTTATTCTATCTATACTATAATAACATTATATACTCTAATACTATACATACGTATATACATATAAATATATATACATATATAATAGACCATTCTTATGGTACTGTAGCCAATGTCAGTAAATGTTCAATGGTCTCTACACACCTTTATTTATAAAAAGCAGTGTATTAAGAAACACTCACTGATGTCCAAGAATCTCTGTTTTACAGCATCCTGGTACTTAGATAATTATTGGCTTAAATATCTAACATGGTCTTCAAAAATGTAATTTTCAATGGTTTATTACTATTACATTGATCTTTTATTACCACCAGGTAAAATATTTATATAAATATTGTCTTCTTTCCATTTCGAATTTGGTTTTTTTTGTTTTTTGTTTGTTTGTTTGTTTGTTTTTGAGGAAGGATTTCTCTATGTATTCCCAACCTGAAGCTAGCTATGTAGACCAAGCGAGCCTGGAACTTATAGAGATCCACCTGCCTCTGCCTCCAGAGTGCTGGGATTAAAGGCATGCACCACCACAGCCAGCTCCATTTCAAATTTCAATAGGCTCACAAATATCTAGTGAATAAAAAAATTAGGGACCTCTAGCCACACTATTCATAAATGTTTTAAACTTCATCAGTCTCACATAAACACTGAATGTAATCCCATTTTGTATTACCACATATTTTCATGAGTATCGCATGTCATATTTCTACCATTTAGGGTTGATTTGCCTGCTCAACTCTGTCATTTTTAATGACATTTGAAAACTCCAAATGTATTTTATCAAATGTATGTGGGGGAAAACACACCTACCTCCTAGCTTTGGAACAAAGCTAGGAAAGAGTCACAAACAAATCATGAACCCACATCTGCCCCACATGGGAGCCCTGTACACAGGCACTCTCCAAGCTGAAGCCACGAATGTAATCCTGAAGAAGGGGCACTCCCTGCTCAACCCACCAGCCTTGGAGATTACCCCTGGCTCTATCCCTGTGTGGAAGCCTGGCATTCATTCACAGGCAACAGTTCCACACCCAGGAGTTCTTCACTCACTGATTCATCAGTCAGGGAGATTTATCAAATACCAGCGCAAAGGACCAGGAACCTACCCACACCCAACTCTTAGGACATGGAGTTACACTCACCCCAACTTCCCAGTCATGAATGCAGGTATGGCTCTTAACTCCAAGAGGCCTGAAGTGTCTTCAACAAAGAAATCATCAGCTAAGTTGGTTTCTGTCTGAAAGACAAAACACCAGCCCTGTCATTAAACACAGGGCTCCTTAGAAGCACCCAGACCTCAGGCTTTGCTTGTTTCCAAGGAAGCTTTAATCTTCCACAGACATTAACAGAAGTGAACAAGCAGAGAGCTCCTTGTCAGGACAAACCCCCCCGAAACCTTCCCACCCCGACCCTGAGTCAGCTCAAACCCCATCCTCCCTTGTTCGGGCTCCCCTTCTCTTGGGCCATACTTTTGTTTCCTATTGAGACAGGGTCTCACTATGTCACCCTGACTGGCCTAGAAGTTGGTCTATAGACCAGGCCCGCCTCTGCCCCCCAAGTGCTGGGACTGAAGGCATGCACCACCATGCCTGGCCTCAGCACCATCATTTTTTTAAATTCACTTGAACCAGAGTCGCTGCTCGAATACTCCCCCCACCCCTTCACTGATAGCCTGGCCACAGGCCAAGAAACAAAGTACTTCATTCATAGCCCAGACCAGCCAGTCTTCAAAATAGAAACTTGGGGCTCTGAGGAAAAGACCCTTTATCAACCCTACCCCACCCCACCCCCAAAAAAATACCTCAAAAAAGTCCTGGGTTTTCTTTAGGAGGTATTTGAGTTCTGTCAGTTCCAAAAAGCTCTTCTTCAAAGCCTGCTGGTTCTGGTTGGCTTCCTGTAGCTCTCCTTCCAATTTCTCTAGAGTACTCTATGCCAGGGAGAAAAAATAAGCCAGGTTAATGTGCTGTGACATTTATTCTACACATTAACCATAATTGATAACTAGACATCAAAAGAGGCAGTCCCCATGTCAAAATACAGTTGAAGCAGTCAGCTACAAATTAAGTATTCCTGTAGAATGTAGCAAAAGCCAGACGAACACTGTCCAGAGTGTCATCTTCTGACAGGGACAATTCAAAAGCACTCTGAGGGATGGAAGACAGCTCATAAGGAAGCCATGGTGTCTTATCCCCTTTTAGAACCCCCAAAAGGTAAAATAAAGTAATTTTACACATTGGGAATTTATTCTGCTCCAAACACACTGTAATGATGGTTAAATTGCAAAAAAAAAAAAAAAAAAAAAAGAGTATTCTCTCCTCCCCTAACCTCCCCCCACCCCCAGTTCTACACAGATCTGAAGAGCCAAATGGGAACAAGAGAAAAGAGAAAGGTGAGGAAAAAAGGCAGGAAGGCAGAAGTGAGCTAAAAAAAAATCCACAATTTATTTAATATAAAAATTTATTTATATAAAAAATCCCCAATGAGTACAAACACAAAAGAATAAAGCTTGTGATGAAACCTGATGGGAAAAATCACCAGCAAATCAGGACACACACACACACACACACACACACAAATCACATGTGTTAAATCACCTTCCACAGAACAGCCTGGTAAAACAACTTTTCAGTTTTTTTTCTTAAGAATGTTCAAAGAGGCAAGAGAGGGCTACCTTCACAATAAGAAAAATAATAAACGGTCAAACAATAATTTAATAAAGCAGGTAGGGGACCAGCAAGATGGCTCGGCAGGGAAAGGCACTTGCTGCCAAGGCTGACAGCCCAAGTTCCATCCCTAGGTCTCCTAGTGAAGGGAAGAACCAGCTCTGACAAGTGGTCCTCTGACTTCCACATGCACATCACGGCATGTGCACACATGCACACGTGCACACACGCACACACGCACACTCACTGAGAGACATAAATAAACGTAGTAATTTGAAAATCAGGTAGACATAAAAAGATAACTATTAGAAATCTGGGAAGTGAAAAAAATAGCTATTCAAAATCAAAACCCAATAGATGAGATCTAATACATTCTAGGCACATTTTGTAAATTTAGTATTGAAATTTAACAGCCAGGCATGGTGTTTCACACCTTGAATTCTAGCACTCAAGAGGTAGAGGTAGGTGGATCTCTGGGAGTTCAAGGCCAGACTGGTCTACATAGTGAGTTCCAAGACAGCCAGAGCTGTATAATGGAGAGACCCTGTCTAGGAAGGAAGGAAGGAAGGAAGGAAGGAAGGGAGGGAGGGAGGGAGGGAGGGAGGGAGGGAGGGGAGGTAAATTTAACAACTAATGTAAAAACCTGGAAGGTCACTTATCTAAAAAGACCTTTAAAATACAATGGAGAGTCAGGCAGTGGTGGCGCACACCTTTAATCCCAGCACTCAGGAGACAGAAGCAGGTGGATCTCTGTGAGTTCGAGGCCAACCTGATCTACAGACTGAGTTCCAGGACAACCAAGGCTACACAAAGAAACCCTGTCTTGGGAGAAAAAAAAATACAACAGAGAGGACTAGAGACGCGGCTCAGTGGTTAAGAGCATTTACTGCTCGTACAGGGGACCAGAGCTCAATTCCAAGCACCCACATGAAGGCTCACAACCATCGGTAACTCCATCCCAAGAGACGTGATGCCCTCTTCTGACCTCCACAGGCACCAGGCACTCATACGGTGCAGACCTATATGCAGGCAAAACAATCACACACATAAAGTAAAAAATCTAATTCAATAGTGAAAGCGTATTAGCAGAAACACTGCAACTATAGAAATGAATTGACTTCGGTAGCAATACGGAATCTTAAAAGTTAACAAGAAGCGGGGGCTGGTGAGACGGCTCCATGGTCAAGAGCGCTGACTTGCTTTTTCTTTTTTTAATGTGGATTATGGGGACTCAAACTGAGGTCCCTGTGTTTTTGCAGCAAGCACCTTAACAACCGAGCCATCTCCCCAGTCTCCAGTCACGTGATGGGTGGTAACCTAAAGAGCAGAGTCAGGAACCATGACTAGTAAGTCTCGGCCACGCTAGACCTGGAGGTGGAGGCAGGGGGCGCTGCAACTCCAGGTCATCTTCCACTATGTGGTCAACTTTGAGATCAGCCTATGAGACTCCAAAAAACAACAAACCATAAATAAATAAAATAAAAGGACTGTCATTCTCAATATGTTTAAACCTATCCAAGAGACACGCTTACCAAAAAGAGATTTAAAAGTAAACCATCAGAAAGGCTATCCAGGGGCTGGAGAGATGACTCACTGGTTAACAGCATTTGTTGCTCTTTGCGGAGGACCTGGGTTCAGTTCCCAGCACCCACATGGTGACTTACAGCCACCTGTAATTCCAGTTCCAAGTGATCCGAAGGCCTCTGTCCTCCATAGGCACCCAGCACACACGGTGCACATACATACATGCAGGCAAACACTCATACATATAAAATAAATGTATAAGAAAGGGTGTCCATAACAATGTTACCTTGCCCTCTGCCCCCTGAAAACAAATGTGTAATGTCAGACAAAACTGAATATTTTAAATTTGAACAGTTAGTTAAACCAATCATCTCACACTGAGTCCAGCTGGATGAACTTTTTTTAAGCTGAAAAGAGTCAGTTCACAAACCTTTTTGTGCCAGGCACATACCTGGAACACATCCCATTCCACCTGTCCTATGGAGCTACATAGGTAAGACTTCACTGCCTGTGAGAAACTGCCGTGCACAAAAGAAATCTTTCTTCAGAATGGGGCGAGTTGCTCAGAGCTGTGTTGAGAAAGGAAAACAGCTCCCCCGCCATCGGCCTAGGAAGCCCTAAAGTTGGACCCTGAGATTTTCCTAGGATAGTCTTAGTTAGGGCTTCTTTTGCTGTGATGAAACACCAGGACCAAAAGCAGCCCAGGGAGGGAAGGGTTCATTTCAGCTTACAGTTCCACGTCATAGTCCATCACTGAGGGACTCAAGGCAAGAACTCAAACAGGGCTAGATACAGGAGCTGATGCAGAGGCCCTGGAGGAGTGCTGCGTACTGGCTTGTTCCCATGGCTTGCTCAGCCTGCTTTCTTATAGAACCCAGGACCACCAGCCCAGGGATGGCTCCATTCACAATGGGCTGGACCCTCCCACATCCATCACTAATTAAGAAGATGCTCTACAGGCCGGCCTACAGCCCAATCTTATAGAGGCATTTTCTCAACTGAGGCTCCCTCCTCTCAGATGACTCTAGCTTGTGTCAAGTTGGCATATATCCAGTGCAGACACAAAGTAACCCCCAAAAGGAACTATCACCTACTTGCTCACATGTAAAGGATCCGGGAACCACTTGACCATCCTCAGCTGGGGAGATGGTCAAGTGAGGCTCTTACCTCCAGGGTGATCATTTCTCGGGGAAGAGGAGTTTCTGGCTCCTTCTCAGGCATCTGGATTAGAATCTCGTTTTGCATCTCATCTTCCAGAAAACCTGAAGGACAGCACAGGTGATGGTGACTTCCTGGACACAGAAGTGGGGGTCCAGCAGAACAGGCGCCTCCGGCCAGCTGAGCTCTCAGGGTTGCTCTAACTCCTGCCCCGCAGCTGGGTCCAGCCTCCAACCTCCCATCCCCTCTGCCTTGGGGATCACCTCAGAAAGCGTTACAATGCATGGCAGGGCGCTGTGAAAGCCAGCATGGTAATTAAGTTCTACAAACTGTTCCCTCTTTCGGTTCACATTAGGCAGTGAGGGGAAAGGGACTTACGGAGGATGCGCTCCAGGGACTCACACCTTCGGACTTCATTCACAAACTTCCTCTGGAAGCTGTTCACGTTTGCATTTAGCTGAGGAAAGGGGAACCACAGGCTTACATTAGGGATCCCGTGTCTTCTCTTCATCACTGCAGTACCTTCTGGAGGAGGGGATTGTTGCTAGGAATGTGTTAGGAATAAATATGGCTGTGCACGAGACACGTGGGTTACAGGCAAGTTGCACCCTCCATTCCTATACTCCTCAGTGGGGTCAGGAATATGAGGGGACCTTGAGCACTGCACAGGTCTACAGAGTGCCTCCCGATCATCAATGAGAATTCAGCCTTTGCTGTGGGGAACTCTCCCTTAGCCTAATAAATGTTAGGCCTAGAGAGAGGGGCTCAGTGGTGAAGCACACTTGCTGTTCTTCCAGTTAGGTTTCCAGCAGCCAAGTCAGGCAGCTCACAGCCACGAGGAACTCCAGCTCCAGGGCATCCAATGCCTCTGGCCTCATGAGCACCTACACTCATACACAGACACACACATACACACAACCTACTCATGATAAAAATAAGATCTTTAAAAAATCGTTAGTGAGGGCGGGCGGTAGAGGCGCACGCCTTTAATCCCAGCACTCGGGAGGCAGAGCCAGGCGGATCTCTGTGAGTTCGAGGCCAGCCTGGGCTACCAAGTGAGTCCCAGGAAAGGCGCAAAGCTACACAGAGAAACCCTGTCTCGAAAAACCAAAAAGAAAAAAAAAATCGTTAGTGAGGACTGGCCTTTGGTCAGGTGCTATGCTAACTAGCAATGCAAAGGACAAGATCCAGGCCTATGAGGGAGCAGAGGTTTGACTTTGACCTTGGTGAGGAAATAAAGGACTGATTTTCTAAATAGGACTCGGTAAAAGCTTGGCAAAGATATAAATGGCCCATGAGAATCGACATTCCAGATAGCCCATCCCTAGAGTGTCTGTGCGGTAACTCATGTCAGAAGCAAGTGCCGATTCCAGGGTGCGTTGCCTCTAGCCAGAGAAAATAGATTCTGTATCATTTTGAAAACTGGTAATTCTGTATTCACTGCCTAGATCCAGCATGCAGAGATGCTATGCAGAAATTGAAACACCCAGCCATTAAACTACAGCTTCAAAACTTTCCTAGAGAAGGCATGGGAGGAGGAGCTGAGGGTCAGGAGACACCTTAGCCGGAAGGTCAGAGCCATGGAATTCCACCCATCCTAGCTCTGGGCCCCTCTTCCAGCATAATGCGTTTTGTTGATTACCCAGAAGCATTGTGCAAGGGCTATCTATTGCCACCCCCACCTTCCTCTTATCTCCAAAGAATGCAGCACCTACATCTTTGAACTGAACCAAGCCAAGCTCTCCCAGTTCAGCTACACAGCAATAAGCAGCCTCCACCTGGAGAAACACTTGGGATAAATGCATCTCCTCGCTTCGAAACACAGATGCCATGTTGGCCCAGCCTTAGTCTGGAGGGAAAAAAAAGAGAGAGAGAGATTGAAGGTAATAAATATATAAAAATCTTAACATGATCCAAGTTAGGATTAAAAAAAAAATCAGGGCTGGGTTATAGCTCAGTGATAATAGTACAGACATAGCATATATGTTCAGTGAACACAGTCTAGTTCAATCCCCAGTGCCCATGACATCACTCACACATACACAGACATACAAAGACAAGGAAATAAACCAAGATTAACACCCCAAACTGAAACTTGGAAGCACCAATCTGATGCTATGGATGGAAAAAGCGCCCCGCCCCCTCCCTCCAACCTTACCTGCTAGGTCACAACTGCAACACATGTGCTCTGGAAAAAAAAAAGTGCAAATTTCCCTCCAGCTATGTGTATATAATGTATAAGTGAAACATGGATGAGTTTTGCATGTAGATTTGGACCCCACATCCAAGATAGTGTATTTTTTGTGTATATATTGTAAATATGGAAATCTAAAAGTTCTGGTGCCAAGCATTTCAGATAAGGGATGCTCAGGCTGGGTGATGAGACATCATCCAAAGCTGGTCAGGTGTGAAGCAGAGAAAAGGAACCAAGGCCCTGGCTCACACAGTTGCTTTCCAACCACTCGGCACACACCTTAAGGAGCCTTCCCGATGCTCAGGGACAATGCATTCCAAAGTGTGGCGTGTGATGTTTGTGACTCAACATTCCCCCACCTCCAATCATTCATCATGGGCCCAGGAGATTGCTTAGTGGAGAAAGGCGCTTGCCATCCGGCCTGATTTAGTTCAATCCCAGACACCACAAAGTAGAGGGAGAGAGCCAGGGGCTGTAGCACTCTAATCCCAGCACTAGGGAGACAGAGGCAGGTGGATCTCTGAGTTCAAGGCTAGCCTGGTCTACAGAGCCAGGGCTACATAGAGAAACCTTATCTTGAAAGACAAAAACCAACAACAACAATAAAAGGCATACATATACACATACATACATACATACATACATACATACATACATACATACATGCATACATAGAGAGAAAGAGAACAGACTTGCAAAGGGGTTCAATGAGCCCCAAAGTTTTCACTAAATAACACATCAGACCCAGGAAGGTCCCCACAACATACATGAGTACACACACACACACACACACACACACACACACACACACACACACACAGAAACTGTCCTTCCTGTCACCTTTCCGTCTCATCGCCTGTCACCACTACCTCATCTTACCCCATAACCCAAGCCACGAAACTCCTCTGGTTTGTAGGTTCCGGACTCCAGCCCTAAGGTCCTCAGCCTCTTTTTTTCCATGTCTGGCATACAGTCCTCTATTCTTGTTTCCATGTGACCCCCAGGGCTGGGGCCCCAGAACCCTTCCTGACTTCACTGAACAGCTCTAGACTCAACTCCAGATCCCGGGGGATCAGGATCCCTCTCCTCCATGGCTTGCCAAGCCTTGGCCTTTCCCCCGGTTCCATCCATGAGAGACCCCCCCCCCAACTCTCTTCCTCCTGGACTCCATGTCCAGGCCTCCCAGGCTGACACCTTTGGTCCTGGAGAATCTAGAGGGCTATACCTGTTCTAAACACAGCCCCTCACACAATCTGAGTCCCTAGACCACCACCCTGTCACCTTCTTTTCTGATTGTGAAGGGGAGGGGAGGGCACTTTCCCGGGTTAAGAAAAAAGGCCAAGATGCTGAGTCCATGTGAGTGCAGGCAGGGGATGGGGGCCTGTCCATGACAAACTGGTTTCCCACGGGAGCCCCCAAAGGGTCCCCATTGCTTTCCTCCATCATTTTCCTTCAAGTCACCCTAGAAAACCAGCTGTCCTCCAGCACAGATTTCACATCATAACACTTGGCAGAACCACAGCCTGCCAGCCCCTGGGCCTGTCACCCCAGCAGGATAAAGTCTAAAGGCCGTGAGCAGGCTGAGAGAAGGCCTCCCATGTGGCCTCTGTCTTCTCCGCTTCATCTGTCTTCACTCCCCTCTCACACACCTGTACCTACCTTCTCCGTGATCCTGCACCTACCCCAGGGCCTTTGCTCATGCTCCCCAGCTGAGTCTGGGATCTCAATCTTTCCTCTCCACCATCCATCCAACACCCCATCATCCCTCCATTCTTCCAGCAAACCTTCCTGACTATCCTGCCTCCCGTCTGCTGCCAGATTATCAGTCAGTGACTTGCTTAACAAGTGCCCTTTATCTCCACGAGCCAGCAAAATCTGGAGGCCGGGACTATCCCATCAGTTTAGCATAGAATGAGCTCAACATTAATCACAAAGTAATTGTCAAAAAATGATGTCCTGACTTACTTCTTTTCCTTACCCTGCGCTCCAGAAGTCCACCAACTGGAGCTACACTTTGCCTTTGGGCACCAAAATGAATCAAAGTTTTTTGGTTTTTACTATTCTGTCTGATAACCAAGGCAACGTGTCCACAGAACCGTAAGACATTAGCTTCACGCAGACCAAAAAGCGCAATGCAAAGACCTTTCTCACCTGAGTTTCCTTGGAGCTGGTTCTGAGTGGGGACCCACTGCCCAATTCCTGGGGCAGGCAGCGCCCGGCGGCAGCTGAGGCGGCAGCAGCAGCAGCCACAGTCAGTTGTGGCTTTCAAGTGGCAGGGAGGCTGCCTAGCCTCTCCCCCTCCACACACTGTCCCAGCTCCCTCTCCAGAGGCCACTCTGTTGTATCAACACATCCTGCAGTAGGTGAGCTCAAACCTGCCACACCGGCCAGCCCTGCTCCACCCCAGCCCCACCTGGGCCCCGCCCTCAGCGGCAACCTTGAGTCCCCACTGCCAAGCAAGAACGGAGTTCTCTGAGGGGGTAACTTGCCTCTCAGGGAACTGAGGTTGGGGACAAGGGCTCCGGGGGCCTTAGAAGGGCAAGGAAGGCAGCAGGCTAGTTCAGCTCCTACACAAATCAAAACACTCCTTCAGTCTCAAGAATGAGGCTGGGGTGTGGCTTACTGGTAGAGCACATGCCTAGCACGTAGGAGGCCCTGGGTTTGATCCCAACACTACACAAAACAGTAAGAATGAAATAACATTAGGAAGTAGTTTTGGAAGAGAACAAAGTATCTCATTCACCATCCTCTTAAGTACTTTGCCAGACACTGTATTTCTAAAGGCAAAGACGGGTGAAGCCGCAGAAAAACCCAGCATGTGAAGTCCAGCTTCCCATGCGGCCAAGTTAGGAGTGCTGACATTTATTTTGCAGAGTGATGAGAGGAACAGAGCGAGTCAGAGAGTTTCCTGGGCTCAGAGGCTTCCACTGCAACAGCCACCTGCCTGCCTTGATATGAACGACCTTTCCAGAACAGCTTTTCCAGGTGGGTGTGTACCCTCCCAGGGTCCCGGTACAATGTACCCACTGGGTCCTCAAATGGGAGGTGGTTTTCAGTTGTTGTTGTTTTTGTCCATTTTACAGTGTGTGTGTGTGTGTGTGTGTGTGTGTGTGTGTGTGTGTGTGTGTGTGAGTGTGTGTGTGTTGTTTGAGACAGGGTCTCATGTAGCCCAGGCTGGCCTTGAACTTACTAGGTAGGAGAATTTCTGACCCTCCTGCCCCACCCCACCCCGTGCTGGGATTACAGGCGTGTGCCACCACCCCTAGTTTATATGGTGCTGGGGATTGAACCCAGGACCTCATGAGTACTAAACAGGCACTCTGCTATCTGAGCTACATCCCTAGCTCTTGTTTTCCACTGTTTCCTATGGAAAACATTTAAATGTCTGTCAGAGTCGAAAGACCTCTTAGTACAAGGACCTTCCAGATACATGTCACTCAACTCCAACTTGAATTTTGTGTCATCTAAACTCCACTCTCCTCTAATTATTAATACTTTGAAGCTAATACCATATACATATAATTTCTTTCAAAAAACTGTCAACATATTGTACACTTTTTGTTTGTTTGTTTGTTTGTTTCCGGAACTGAGGACTGAGCCCAGGACCTTGCGCTTGCTAGGCAAGCATTCTACCACTGAGCTAAATCCCCAACCCCAATGCTGTATACTTCTAAAAGATAAAGATTCCTTCATAGAGACACACACACCAAGTCATGATCACTCCTCAAATTCAGCGATAATTCTTTCACATAAAATACCCTGCCAGGGATGTCTGCACTGGCTTTAACTGTCAACTTGACAAAGCCTAGAATTAATCACTTGGAAGTTGTTAATCCCACCGGTCAAAAATAAGACCATTACCACAATTTAAAGTCAAATTTGAAGTAAGCTTTAATTAAATACTGGCCAGGTGTATGGGCTCTGCCAGGTCTATACTCGTGTTCCAGGAAATGACCCTGAATCAAGGTTTGCAGAGGCTTGAGAAGGCAAAACCCATAATACACTGCATTTTCCATGAGGGCAAGCATACATCCTGATGTACTTCCTGTCTGCATACCTCCTGACTATATCCAATGTGGGGCAAGGGTACATCCTGACATATTTCCTGCCCACGTACCTCCCATCCACATATGATCAAGCATATCTGCTGCAGATAGGTCAAACAAACTTGTTTAGGGGAGTGAAAACATGTGGCTTGTTATCTCCCATAAACAATAGCCTCCAGCATTTCAGGAACTATCTGTCCTTGGGCAAGGGGCTTGCAAATCAGAGGCATTTTGTTTTATGGATCTCTAAGGCATAGTAATTAAAATTTAAAATGTAACTTTGGGCTGGGCAGTGGTGATGTACTTACTCCTTTAATCTCAGCACTCGGGAGGCAGAGGCAGGAGGATCTCTGTGAGTTAGAAGCCAGCCTGGTCTATAAAGTGAGTTCCAAGACAGCCAGAGCTGTTGCACAGAGCGTCCCTGTCTCAAAAAAAAAAAAAACCAACAAGCCAACAACAACAAAAGAACCTTTGGTTCTCACAAAGTAAGTTAATGAAAAATGATTTAGATCAAGTTCCCTGTGGGCATGTCAGGGGGTGTCTCATTGATGTAGGAGACCTAGTCCATTGCGGGGGGGGGGGGGGGGGGGGG